CCTAGTGCCAGGTGCCAAGTATGCCATGAAACATGAGCACACTATGGGACAGAAAAACACCTATTTCTCAATCTATAATTTGGACCCAAATTCCTGCACACCGAATTTTTCTCTAACTTTGCTGATGTAAGCATCTCTTAATTGTGTATTATCAATAAAATTTGTTAATTCCTTCAGAAATAAATCACAGCCACATTCCCATTTTGTATTATTATTCACTTACTTATATAGGGTGGTTAACATGTATCAGGCACGACAAGAGCTGTCAACACAAAGTGAAAAGAATATATAGTACCTGCCCTGGAGGAGCTCCCAGGCTGGCAGGACAGACAAGTGAGTACAGACAGCAAAACCATGTGTTGATTAAGGAGATGTTCTGGAAGGTGCTATGGGAGCAAGAGAAGGGTGGCTAGAGCATACTGGGAAGGAATTACTCAACGACAAAGTGCTGTCACAAGCACTATCAATGTGATCCTCCCTAAAATTCTTTTAAGAGAGCAAGTCAGGAAAATTGTATTTCACAGGTTAACTGAAGCTCAGAGGGATTAAATATTCTGCTCAGTTTCAGATGACTAGCAAGTGGCCAGTTAGTATTTGAACCTAGATCTTACAACCAATCAGTAAATTTAGTATGCTGCCTCCGTGTTAAGGGCTGAAACCATCCATCCAGATTATTTTGCATGTGAGGAAACACAAAACCAAAAAGGAGGGCAACCTGTCTAGGGTCACGTGGACAGTAACAGGGCCTAGAGTAGAATCTTGTCTCCTGATCCCCAAGTCAGGGGAGCTTCTGTGCACCATTCTCTTATGTCTACAATGGGGTTTCTTAACCTAGAATCCATGTCCCCACTGAAATCATAAGTAAAAGGCTGTGTGTTTTCTTCTGTGGAAAGGGTCCAAAGCTTTTACCAAATATTCATCAAAGATTCAAAGGATTCAGACTTCCTAAAAAAGGACAGCTGGTCTATACCACTTCCTTTTCATCCCTATTTCAGTACCAATGATGACATATTTCTAGCTCTTGGTTCCTGGAGGGACAGTGAACATTTAAAAGGAAAAGCCAAGAAATAGCTAGCAGGTCACAAAAGAAAATTTATTAAGAAAGAGATATTCCAACTGAAAATAAAGCCCTTAGAAATCCTTTCAAATGGACTCTTAGGTGATCGGCCCATTTATACTAGTTGCTGGCTCTCACTGAGCTGGATCATGAGGGTCTCAGCTAGTATTTTTCCTTATAAAAAAGTCCCATCTCCCTTATTTTCAATCTAGTCTCTAGGCTCTCAGTTAGGCCTTGCTGTCAGCTATAATTCCAAGATTATAGATTATGCAATCATTTTCTTTAAATGACATTTCAAAAATTTCAGTAAGACTCACACTCTGATTTGACGAATTGGTCCATATTTCCCAAATATGTCATACATTTCTTCAGCTGTGATTTTGTAGGGCAAATTTCTTATATACAAAATCCGATTTACTTCAGGTGGAAGTCGAATCTAAAATGAGAAGTATGTATTATAATTATAATCAGGAGAAAGAGTGCTACGGCTTAAAAAATTCTCATAAAAAGTAATAAATTCTCATAATAAAAAATGATACATAATAAAAGGCCAAGAACAAGAATTATAACCTAATATTACTGAAAACGGCATGCTGTTTGAAAAAGCAATTAGGCACTGGTTTTAGGAAAGACTATTAGTAGGAACTAATAAGGGGCTACTACAAAACCCAGGCTTTCTGTTACCACATTGAAACGAGATTTCCAATCTCATTAAAAACTCCTCAGTGCTTTAGACATAAGTGGGAAAGAATGGAGAGAACTGTTCCTGTTTGCCACACAATAAAAATGTCACTGGCAACCCTTCTCTTATCTTCCCAGAAACTTGTTGCATCAACGATCTCTTCTCTCTTTTGAATTTACAGCCTTTCTCTCACCATTGGTTTCTTTTATTCCTCGGGTGAGCAGCTGCTTACGTGTTGCCAATCTTTACACAAAATACTTATTTAGATCCCTTTTCATTCAAAAAATACTTACTGAGCACTCTTTATGTATATGCCAGGCTAGGTAGGGTTAGGATTACAGTGAAGGAAAACTAACAAACAAAAAAACAAAGCTTCTGTCTTTACTACTTTTTCCATCTTGCTCTTTTATTTTTCTTCAGTCAAGCCTCTGGAAAGAGAAAGTCTACACTCACTGCCTCATATTCTTTACTTCACTGACACTCAACAACCTACCACAAAGTGCTTTTACACACAAAGACCGTTCACTTGCAGAGTTCAAGTCTCATCGCACTTAATTTCTCTGAGCCTCTGACATTGTTGACTATTACCTTCTTGACTATTCTAGACACTCTACTTCGGCTTTCTCCTAACTCTAAGGCTAGGTCTTCTCAGTCCTCTTTGCCATTATAATTTGCTCTTCCACAGAATTCTACCTTTAGACTTCTCTTTTTCACCGTTTGTACGCCTGCTTTAACTCTATGCTCTCTTTGATCTCTTAACCACCCACATACATGGTTTCTGCACTGAGTTGATGACTCTCAAATAGGTCTCTCTTGTCCAGATTTCACTCCTGTGCTTCTTATTAACATATTCAATTACATAATGGACATTAATTTGCTCAATAACTATTTATTAAACTAGTGACGGCATTAAGCTCAGCGTTGTATAAATGAAAGAATAAGATACTTATTCCCTGCTCTCAAACTAGTGGTGGTAACAAATGGTAAACAAATAAGTACAATAAAGTTTTAAGACTTTAAGATTCAAGCATAAGTTTAAATAGATGAGCAACACTGTCAGACAATCACCGTATACTTCTCTAGTCAATTTGCTTTGCTTTTTCACTCCGCAAGACACTATATATCACACTTTCTCTTCTCTCCTCACACTTGACCGCCACCACTCCCTCTAACATGAGTTGGGCTGTATTCTATTCCCTGCCCATCCTAGGAAATGACCGTGACTCTTGCTTATTGCAGAAAATAGATATGACCAAGTGGTAAGTACCTTGTATTACTAAACCTACCAATCAACATTCATACATATGCACCCACTTTCCCTTTCATCTGTGCCAATCCTTCATCTACTCCAAACCACTCCTGAACTTAACCCATCTTTCTTCTGTATCATCAGTTTCCCCCACTTACTGGATCATTGCCATTGGCATACACATACACCTAGTCTCACACATCTTACAGAAAGAAAAAAGTCAACTATCACCCAATTTCTCTTCTCCCTAGTTACACAAGAACTCTTTGAAAGAGCTGTCTCCGGTTTCTCCACTTCCACCTTTTCATCCCACCACAACCAAGTTTTCATCCAGTGAAATGATTTCATTGAGGTTACCAAAAGTCTTCGTCTCACCATGTCCAATTATCTGTCATCATCTTACTAAACTTCTCAGCATCCTAAGAGTTGACCACTCTCTTTCTTGAGACCATTTTTTTTTATGGTTTCCACAGAACCTCACTCTTTAACATGAAAACATAAGCAATAGGGCTTCTGTTTTACTCATACTACTGTATCTCCAATACCTAGACTAGTGTCTGACACGTAGTAGGTGTTCAATAAGTATAACTGGTGAATTGCTTTCCTATCTCAATACTAGTACATAACAGGTGCTCAAAAATATTGTTGAATTAAAACATTTAATGAAACATCCAAAACGCTCCCTGATGTGGAGGTTCCCAGGCTCTAGCTGCTTGACTAGTAAGTTACTTGTTGGGGACTCATCTGTGCTATTGACTATTAGGCCGAGAAGATCCTGATGCCTGGTTCTAGATGCAGGTGAAGCAACAAAGGCTGTAAGGGTTAACGCTATCACTGACACTAGGATAAGAGACTAAAGGAACTCTCAAAAGGGGTGGGGGCGGAAACGTGATTCAAAGAGTGTATTCCTAAGGATGGGCCAGGATGGAATCTCTGACAGGACAGTAATTTCTGGGCTTCCCCACGCTGAGCTTGGAGGAGGACCAAGAATGCTCTGATCCGCGCCGCTGAGGAAGGTCAGCAGCGAAGTCCCTCCCTCCTCGGCAGAAGTCCCCGATACTCACGTTCGCCCTCTTGGCCGCTTGCATCGCCATCTTGGCGGGCTGTTGAGGTTACCGCAGCTAATACAAGAATTCCTCCGCACTCCCCGGAGCTCGCACAACTTCAGCGCAACACGGCGACAAACGCAGGACATCAACAACCAGGCTCCGCCGGAAGCTGTTATAACACGCCGGAATAGCGCCGTTTCACGTAGAAACGTACTGACGTATATCCCCTTTCGAAAAGACTCCGGGGCAAAACGAGCCTGAGTTAGTTATGAGTCCGGAAGGTTAAAAGGCGAGTACCAAGACACTTCCGGGTTCTGGCTCGGAAGGGGCGGGGCATCGGCTTCAGACGGGGAGGTGTTCCGGTCGGGGCGGACCTCAGCAGAGGCAGCGGGCGGGAGGGGGCGGGGCCGGAGAAGAGAGGCGCGAGGTGGGGCTGCTCGCAGGTGAGTTCCGGAAGTGGGCGGGGCCTGGTTTGGGATCCCGGGCTGCGGGGCGCGCACTGGGCAGGTGCTGGGGGCGCGTGGGTGGGCCTGGGCCTCTGGTCGCTGGTGAAGCGCAGCCTACAGGGTTCTGTCTCCGTACCTGGAACCCTGGCGCAGCCCCTGAGGGTTGGGTATCTGCTGACCCGGCCTCTCCTGTAATCCCCGCCGCGACGCCTGTCCCGCCTCCCACCTCATCCCCACCCCTGTGGCCTCAATTCGCGCGCTGGGACCGCCCCTAGTGAGCCGGCCGCCCTTTGAGTCCCCTCTTTATTTTCTTAGACCGGCTTTACACGCGTCAGTTGACGATGGCTGGGGAGGACCAGCGGGTTACAGACGGGCCTGCAATAGCAGCCGATCTCTTGCTTGCCTACAGTGAGTTTTACACAAATTTGCCCCGGGAAGGCCAGAGGTAGTCGAGTTCTGAACTGCTGTTGCTGAACTCTGGGGGTTCGTTTTGCCTGCGCGCATCAAAGCCAAAGGAGACGCCAACAAGAGTTTGCAGCAAAGAAATGAGACGTTTATTTAAGGAAATGGCACCAAACCCGGAGACACAGGTGAGCTAGTGCTCCTTAGACCTGGCTCCCCAGTGGCTTATAGGTTACAGATTATATAGGGCAAAATCACCAGGCACCGTGGGTTAGGGGTTCGGGGTTGTGTGGGGACCTGATTGGTTGGAGGTGAGGTAAGGGTAATGAATGATTTCTTCAGATCTTGAGGACCGTTCTGAATCGTTTTCTGGAGTCCCTCTGTCCAGTCTCATGGGAAAGTAGCCAGGGGGTTGTTCCACCTTAGGGCTCAGGAACTGAAACATAACTTAGGCCAAGGTGTTATCTTTAGCTTGCTAGAGGTCTGGGCGGTGTGGCCATTCGTCAGGTCCAGGCTACTGTCTTCTGCAGCCTCAGGGGTTACTGATTATGGGGGGGCCGGAAAGGGGAGGGCTAGGTCTCTGAGGAGTATATAGAGAGAGGGGGATATGATTTCTAGAGCTAGGATGTAAAACTAACTTTAATCAAAGCCATAAGGACCCTTGGTTTCACTGCCCCTTCCTCCTTCATTGGGGCAACTCCAGGATGATTTTTCCCATGTGCTTGTTACTCTCCATGTACTTATGGGCCTCTTGGATTTCCGCCACGGGGTAGACTCTGTCTAGAACCGGCAATAGACGCTGGGGCTCCTCTGTGGAGAAGTGGGGCAGAATTTGTTCCGTGAAAGCCTTCACCAGCATTTCCTTGTACTAAGAAAGGAAAAGAAGACCATCAGCCTGGGCAGAGGCCTTGCCTTGCTACTCCCCATCCTGCCTTGCCCTTCTTTGCGCTCTCTCTGAACCGTGTACATATCAGAAAAAGCACCAAGGGGTAACCTGACCCCTTCACTACCAGCATTATGTGCATGCCCCCAAACGTGCAACCTCTGTTCTGTACCAGATAAAGACTGAAGCCTGGAGTAAAATATTAGTGTCACTCACAGCCTAAGGACTATTCTTAAACACAGGCTTTAAGCAGGAGGCAGTCACAGATGGGTCTGACATAGGTTTAGTTCAAAGGGATGCTTGAGCTCTGCTATTCCCCAGCAGGTGTGAAACCCTCTATGGGGAAATATTCCCAAAGCTGGCACCCGCTAGAATACCACACAGAAGATTTCAGGTTGAATGCTAAGAGGCTTTCTTAGCACACTGAGAAGAGCTTTGCCTTTCAAAAAAAAAAACAAACAAAAGTCTTGGAACTATTAGAAGTATTTCCTAATATGGTCGATGCTTTGTTCATTCTGTTAGAAAGACTCCCCGGTCTCATAATGAAGTGTTAGCTACCCCTTTTCCAAGATGTTGAAGCTTCTATTAACCAATTTAATTACTAGTTCTGTGAAATTGGGTTAACTATCCTTGGCGGCAGGTTTCTACATAGGCTCCCTATCTTAAAATGTGACAGACAGATCTTACCTTCTTTGGGGTTATGGAATGAATCAGACTTTTCTGGGTAATAGTTTTCTTTTCATTCATCACTCACCTTTTTGTCCCTAGATCTCAGTAGACTGGTGATCAGACTTCCTCGTTTAAAAAGGAGCTTTGAAAACAGAGGCCCATTGACGTCAGCTCCTCCCATCAGACCGTAGAGAACCCAGCGACCATCATGAGCCAGGCAGTTGACATTTTTCTCCCAGTAGGATCCTCCTATGCAATCTATGATAACATTGACTCCAGCGCCTTCCACATGAAACACAATTTGTGATGCTAGTCAGACACAGAAAGCTTGGTGCAAAATAAGATCCGCAAAGTTTGTGGATATGTGGGTATAAATAAATACAGGTGCAAGTGGTATATCTATAGATTGGAACTAGAAACATTGCTCATAGAAACATTGTTGTAAATGGAGTTTAGGTAGCTGAACCCTATCATACCATACTATGTGTAACAGTTTATCTTTTATGATCTCTAGCCACAGCAGGAAAGAAATGGGGCAACACCAGGATCTGGTATCTTCTCTGACCCCCACATAAGTAGAGAACCCACTGGTACCTGGGCATGAGTGAGAACAGAAGAGGGGAGGTCCACCCCAGGCTACAGGGCAGGCTAGCAGTTCACATCGAAGTTATGAGGTATCTGCACTGGGTTGTTTGAATTCTAGTTTTACCAGCTTTGGTTTCATCTCTCCTTTTCTACTCATGTGGAAAATGGAAAGGGTGAGCCAATGATATTCAGATTAGGCTTTGAAATACAGAGGCTCATCCATTTAGGAAGCTAACACCCCAACCCTACTATGACCGGCTCCAAACTGGCCTCTGCCTTGTCTCTCCTACTAGCTCACTATGGACTGGCTGGTTGGGAATAAGAGGTCTGGTAATTCCAGGCCAACTCTGTGTGATTATCCAGTTTCTAAGACATGTATGAATCACACGACTTACACATGAAAGCCATCTTAGTCCTAACTACTACCTGCCTGTCTCCAGAGGTCAAAGGCTGGAGTACGAGAATTTGGCAGGGCAGCTGTTGTACATTTAGCAGAGGCAAGACAGATCCAGAGCACTGGCAGTCTAGAGGTTGGTGAGGATTTTATCTAATCATCTCTGAAATTCCTGCTGAGCTGTATAAGCTGTTGTTTACCTTTGGTGAATTTCATTGTTGCTTCCGAAAAATCCTCTTCTTTGTAATTGAATCCACCAGCTGCTCCGAGCTTTTCTGCCATTTGAAGCTTGTCCTTGGAGCCAATTGTGACCAGAGGAATAGCTCCAGCCAATCGGGCAAGTTGGATGGCAGCTGTGCCCACCCCACTTGCTCCTGCATGGATTAGCACAAAGTCTCCAGCCTGAACTTTCCCTGTGACAGAAAGTACAGGAACCATTCACTTCATTTTGCAACTGCTACCCATTCTCCCCGTAGGCATATTGTACCATGACCACCCAGCCCAAGGACCACCAAATGCCAAGTCTCTTGCTCTCTTAAGAGAAAACACATTGACAGTTCTTTTTTTTTTTTTTTTTTGGTCTTATTGCCTCTGGTCAAAGTGGGAAACAACTTTTTGAAAGTTATTAGCAGCTACACTTGTAATCTCTGTTTTACCTATGGAATAAACACATCTCTGACCTATACCTGAATAAGTGAGAGTAAGCACCATTCCCACTGTCACCACCATAAGCCACTCCCTCTTCAGTCTGAAACTGGCCTTCAGCTGGTCTCACTAATCAAGGCACCATACCATACACAGCCACCAGGCTCCTACTCCTAAAATGGAGCTTTCATTATGTTACTTTCTCAAATTGTAACGTGGCTTTTGATTGGCTTTTGTATCAAGTCCCGACAGCCTGCTATTCAAGGCCACCACAATCTAGTCCCAGCCTCATTTTTTACAACTGATAACTCATCCTTCACTTCTGAATGGGGCAGCCAATCTCACCTTTCTCACTAGGAAAGGAAAAGACACTCTTTCTTAGGCCACTTTGGCTTGCCTTCTGTCCATCACAACTCCACCCACCCTTCGGGTCCTCTTCCAGGCAGCCTTCCCTGACCACCTTTGCCCACACCAACTTTTCCCATCTTGAGCTTCTATTATACATAAAGAAGGATATATTATATCCTTCCGAACTCTATGGTTGTCTTAATTCTTGTGCGTGTTTGTCTTCCCAGTTACATGAGTTCCCTAAAGGCAAGGACCAAGTCTTCTTGGGCTCCCTCACATGATCTTTTGGCCAGCCTCAGTGGAATTCGGGAGGAATAAAAGTTGTTTGCAGTAACCCTTCTGTTGTACTAGGGCTCCCAGAGAAAAGCTCAGCATGACTTTGAGAAGCTGGGACTGCTGGTGGTCCTGCAGTGTAAAGGTGTACACAGGCCTTCTATTTGACAACCACAATTTTTAGCTTCAACCTCAAGCCATTGCCAGCATGATATGAAGACCTTATACTACTGGTGGTACAGTGGGGTGAGGTGTTTGGATTGGGTGTGGCTCAGTGGCCTTGACAAAGCTGTCCTGGAAAACTACTGGCTTTTGAGGTGGCTGAGTCAGGAAGGAATTGAGCCACATTGCATGGAGTGAGCATGTGGGCGGGCCTCCTCACCTATGAGATGTAACAGCTGGAAGGCTGTAAGCCAGACCTCTGGGATGGCCGCAGCCTGGGTCAGGGTCAGTCCTGCTGGGATGGGCATGAGGAGTCCTTCAGGGACAGTGACATACTGAGCCTGACCCCCACTGGGCAGCAGAGCCATGGCTGGGTCCCCAATCTTCCAGTGCCCCTGGCAGCCAGGCCCCAGCTCTGCCACATGTCCAGACGCCTCGAGTCCCAAAATGCTGCTGGCTCCTGGCGGTGGGGCATACTGGCCTTGTCTCTGCAGAGAGAGGCCTGCTTTAAGTGGTGAGTAGGATCAGAAACCTGTGTCATCATCCCTGGCCCTCTTCCAATAGTCCTTTTTTCCCAACAGAATTCAGGATAAAATCAGGTTTTTTAAGTCAGGAAAAGAGAGAAGAGAGTAATTTGTTATTTTTTAATTTTAGCTGAGCCATCCTGCCACCTGTTGGCAGCTCAGCGGCAGCTCAGCAGCAGCTCAGCTCAGGCCGGACTCGAACCGCTGTTGCTCAGAGCTCAAACCTTTAAGCAACTCTTAACCAACTGAGCTGCTCAGCCGGCCGGAGAGTAATTTGTTTTATGCAAATAAGATGGTATGTCATATAATCCATTAGTGGTTGTCATAACTAGTAAGGTCCTTTGCTATTTCCCTCATTTAAACCCCTTGTTTTACAAATGGACAAACAGGCCTGGACAGGAAAATGCCTTGTATAAGCTCACAAAGTAAATTAGTAGCAGGATTAGGAACAAGACCGCGGACTCCTTCACGATTGTTCTCCTGTATCAAGTGCCGGGCTCTGTCATCACAATCCTCCGAAGCGTCTGACCAGGGCTTTAGACCAAAGGGACTGAATCAGGAGTGCACCATTTGAGGGGCTTTTTCAAAGTACACGTACCTGGGTCCTGGTCATGTTAATTTTGAAAGAGTGCCCCGGGTGATTCTGGTGCACATTTCTCAATTACCCCAACCAATGCAGCTGGTCAGGTTAGCGCTTCAAATAGCAGACAGAAGAAAATTCTTCGAGTACTGCTCCCTGCCCACCCTGGGACCCTCAGAGTGGAAAGTGCAGCCTTTGGAGCCACAAAGACCTCAGTTTGAATCACAGTCTTGCCCTCCTCCACTCCAGCCCATTACTAGCGTTGCGGTCTTGAATGAATTGCTTAACCTCTTCTATCCTTAGTTTCTTTACCAGTAGAAAACAAATGAACAGGGTTGCCTGCGGAGTACATGAGATAAAACCCGGCCTAACACACACGCCCCCGTCAACAAATGGTACTTCCCTTCTTATCTGAAAGCCTGAGCAGGCTGGATTAACTCCGTGTGGACTCTGCTTTGCAAATACAGTACTCACGTATTTTGTGTATACCAAGAAGACTAAATGGTTCTACCTCTCAGAACCCCCAGCACACCCTTTGCACACATCATGAGGAGTGTTACAGGCAGTACCTTAGGTCATTCCTTCATCTGTCTGATGAATGATTATTGAAGGCCCTGAAGTCCCGCCCTGCCCCAGCCTCTGCCTGACCCCTCGGTACCTGGAGTATGTCAGCCCGGTTCAGGGCGCTGGCTGCCACCTTCAGGAGGACTTCCCCCTGTCCTGGGCTTGGCTTGGCCACCTCCTTCAGGTAGAGGTTTTCTGGTCCTCCCGGCTTGTCAAAGTGCACGGCTAACATATTCCCTGAGGACATAGCACAGAGAAAGGGTCTTCGAGGACACAGCGCCCAAGCCTACCGTGCAGCGCCCCCTGCCGGCCAGTGGCCTCCCTCTGTCAGTGGCCACGAGGGCTGGTCCCCGCTCCCGCTTTCAGAGGTCCCTGCCGCCTCCAGATGGACCCCGCCCAGAGCGCACCGATTGGGGCTGGGTGAAGTGGGGATGGCAGGACCGGGCTGGATGCAGTGGAGCAAGAAAACGTTGAGCATGAGGCAAATTCTACTCCCGAGTTGGATTCTTCCACCCGGCCCGGGTCACTGGAGCCGATGTGAGTTACTCACCAACTTAGGACCCGGCCCCTCGGCTGCTGCAGGCGGTGCCACGCGGTGCTGCTTTCCCTGCGGGTCCTTGGAGCACAACCACGGAGCCCTGGTACTGCCTGGACCTTGACTCACCTGTCGGCTGGAATCTGGGCAGCGCAAACGGTGGAGTTGACTAGAACCAACCCTGCCTTGACAAATCTGATTGGCTGGGATCTTGGCAGCGCAAGGGGTGGGGCTGACCGGAACCAACCTCGCCTTCTCTTCCTTTTCCTCCTTACATCTTTTTTTTTTAATTTCAGTTTTATAACTTTATTAGACAATCAGCATTTAGTTCCCATCCGCGTTACCTGTTTGTAGATTTCTGCAAGTGGTGACAGGTACGTAAGTAATCAACGTAGAGAGCTTGTTTGGTGAGTCTTCATCGTCATTACGTTTTCTGGGCAACAGCACCCGGTCCGGAATGGGACGTTCCGTATTCCTTTGGCACAGACAGCTTTGCTGAGCCCGGTGTCAATGTGCACATCTGGAGTTCCCATCTCCTTCATGGCAAATTTCTGCATCTCTTTCAGTGAGGGAGGGGCACGCTTCTTGAAACCCACCCCACGGATGTGCTTGTGACTGTGTATGGTGTATTCTCTGGGCACTACCTCGTTGATGGCAGAACCGCTGTTCCCGCCACCCTTCTTTGCGGGAGCCATTCTGCGTAGCCCAAGTTGGAAAGGAAGCACCTCCTTTCCTCCTTTAAAATGCGAAGCAAGTGACAGCAAATCAGGTTTCCTTTTCCTTTGAACGTCTGGAAAACTAGCCTTCCCCTGAGAATGCTGTTCCAGCTCTCACTGCAAGAGAAAACTTCCCTTTCTCTAGGACTAGGCCTGAACTCGGTCCATTTCTTGTTCTAGCCAGGCTTTTAGCCCATTTATGCTGTAAGTCTGGCATCCTGCCCTTCCTGTGGGCAGGCGGCTCTAGGGTGGGCAAGAAGGGTGTTGCTGGGACAAAAGTGAGGAGCAGCAGGGGGAAAAGGGAAGGGAAAGCAGTCCTGTGATCCCTGTCACTTCTGCTCTTCCTCCTGACTTTCCTGGGAAGGAGGAAGCGGCGCCTGGGAGATGCTGCCTAATGAGGCAGTTTAGACCGGTGAAAAGCTGAATCAATAGGCTACCTCAGGGTTCTCAACCTTGGCACTACTTACATTTTGTACTAGATAATTCTTTCTTGTGAAAGACTGCGCTGTGTATTGTGGGATATTTACCAGCATCCCTGGACTCTGTCCACTAGATCCCAATAGCACTCTTGTCTGGTCGTGACAATACAAAATATCTCCAGACATTGCCAGGTTTCCCTGGGGTGAGGGAGTGGGGAGATTGCCCTTGGCTAAGAACCACTGGGTTAGAAGAATACACACATATGTGTGCCACACTACTTTTGTAGTGCTGTATAATTTACCACCTCTTCACGTGCATTCTCTTATTTGCTTTACCCATAATACTTTCCCCAAAAGGAGTCAAGATACAGAAAGATTAACTTGATTTTCAAGGGACATACATCTAGTGAGTATCAGAGCCAGGAATCAAACTTAAATCTCCTGGGTCCTGGTCCAGGGCTCTTTACTATAACAGGCCACCGTGTGTAACAGTCTCTCCTATCAATTGCAGCCCCCCTTTTCTCTCTTAATTTACACCCCTCTGCTGAGCCTACCTCTTGCAGGGTTACCCAAATCATGTATTTTTATAAGGCTTTCTTTCTGTTTTACAAAAATGCCTGTCCATGTCTTGCCATCTATATCAAAACCATCATCGCAAGGAAAGGCTAAGAAGCCATTATATTCAGAGAAGGTCAATGTGAGGCCTTTTCTGGAACTTGTGTGGTGGGTATTTCTTGCTACTTCTGTGGGTAGACTCCAGTGTTTCTGAGGGACCGTGTCCCGGGAAGGACAGGAAACCTCTGCAGCTGGCTCTCTGATAATTAAAGAATAAGATCCAAACTCAGTAGCCTGGCACTTAATGTCATTCTCTCTCTCCTGTCTAGAGAAAACCTACTCATCTTTCAGGGCCCTGTTATGAATCTCCTCTGAGGATCTTCCAGAGGGCATCTTCTCACCTACCCTCCCCGCTTTGGTCTGGGTAAGCATCTGAAGAACAATATCAGAGCTCCTGGACAAGGGATGGAAAACAATGGATCCTGGGAAAAGCTTGACTTATAGAGATTCATAGGAAGGTGCATATCTCATGGGAGTATGCCAAGTCTCTAGTCCACTTCCCTGGTCCTGGGAATGGGGAAGTACAGGGGGTCCAAAGAGAAGGGAGGGAGTCCTCTTGCCACCTGTACGCCCCCACCCAGCCTACAAAGTAGAGACCACTTCCCTTTTTATCATCGGTGGGCATGCTGTAGTAATTTAGAGTATTCCAACAGTCAGAAAATAACTTACCTAATGTGAGTCAGTAGCCAGAGTCAAGATCTGTCAGAATGAATGGAGTATATGCCCAGCAAAATAGAGCAACTATAGGAAACAGGTGAAAACTTGAATAAAATAAAAGCAGTCGAGAAGATTCAGGAGTAATCCAAAAATACTTCTAAAATAAAAAAAAAACCATTTCCCAATTAAACAATTCAGTAGATGCTTTGAAGGAGGTGGTCATTGTTGAGGCCTGAATTATTGGCTAAGATTAAGGTTAACAAATATCTCAGGCAACAGAGCAAAAGCTTAAAGAGATGGAAATTCATAAAAGGATGAGACTTGGAGAATAAATTTAGGAGACCCTGCTATAAGAATAATAGGAGTTATAGGAGGAGGAAGAGGAATAAAAAAAGACTCAATAATTAAATAATAGAATAAAAATTTTCCTAAACTGTCTCAGATTCTACAAATTGAAATGGTTCACTGTGTTAAAAGATGGGTTGATGAGAAAAAGCACATACCTACATTTTGTAAAATTCCTAGTTCTAACACATTTCCAGGTGGAAAGAATAAGTTACCTACCAGAGGTTAAAAAATCAAATTGGCATCAAGTTTCTATCTACAATCTGGAAGTTAGAAGAGGTTAGACTAGCCTCTTGATGTGAAGAAAAGGACTGAAACCCAATTATCATACACCCAATTAAGATTATTTTTTGCACTTGTTAGGACAAAAAAATATATATTTTCAGATATGCAAGAATTCCAAGACACATCGCTCAGATACCCACCTGCCAACACTTGAGGAAAGGCTCTAACCAAACAACAAATGTCCTAGAACAGATGGAGAGGAAACAGTTGTAAACAACAAACTTTGCAAAATATAGAGCTAAAAATGATTGGATAAATAAATATGAATGGATAAGGACAGTGGGGAATGTGTTATGTAAGTCCTAAATAAGAACTTTTAAAATATAAGAAATTACTTTGAGGGAAATTCTAAATAATAATCGAGCACTAGATATACTAAAATATTTCTGAAAAATTAGGAGTTGAAGGTGCTTTAAGTTCTGATTTTATTGGTGAGTGCCTTGGTGGGAATATATCCAAGAGAGGAGGGGATACCATTTATGGGGAAATAGATAATATTTAGTAGATATATATCTGATTTTGAACAAGAGAACTTCCAACTTAACAAGGGGAAAAAATGAAAATGATAACTACTTAATAAAGCCAGCAAAGGAAATAAAAGGTAAGAGAGGAGACAAAAATATTTAATAATGGAATAAAATCAAATATATCAGTTATTACAATAAATTTAAGTAGATAAATTCTATTAAAACTAAGCAATTGCCAGATGACGTTAAAAAGTTAGAATCTGGGTCGGTCGAGTGAAGCATTGGTTAGGAGTTGGCTTGGCACACCCGCTCTGAGCAGCAGGGCCCCGGTTCGGATCCCACATGAGGGCCAGTGATGCTGCGCCCTCTACAGCTAAGATGGTGAACAACAGCTCAACCTGGAGCTGGGCTGCCATGAGTCGCTGGTGACGGTGGAGGCTGCAGTGGGGCTGGCCGCCAGCTGGCATGAACTTTCATGAGCCCCCCATGAGCAGCTGGCCAGTGGCCAGCGAGCAACTGCCTCAACCGGGAAGCGCGCAATGATAATACCAACATGAACCAGTGAAGCGACGTCCTCCACAACTAGACTGAAGAACAAAAGGACAGCAACTTGTCTGTTCCCCTCCCTCAATTCCCCAATAAAAAATCTTAAAAAAAAAGACTCTATGAAGAAGATATAATAATTATGAGCCTGAATGCCTAAAACAACAAAGCAGCTAAATTAGAAACTCCAGGATAAATGGGTAAAAATGGACTCATAGTGGAAGACTTGAGTACATTTCTGTAAGAATTTGAGTGATATAATAGAAAAAAATTAATGAGGATACAGAAGAATTGAGTAAAGCAATCAGTAAACTTGATAGAATTTTCTAAATAGAACATATAATTTTAGGCCCATTAAACATCTACAAAGTTAATGAAGTACTTGTCAACAAAGAAAAAACTTGGCAAAATTTAAAAAGCAAGGATTTTGCAGGCCATATTTCCTTAATCCCATGCCAATAAAGTTAGAAATAAATAATAAAAAGATTCCTTGACCTCCCTGCAAAATCCCTTAATTATCGGAAGGAACATAGTCTGAGATAACCCTTGGATCAAAATATATATTAAAAAGGAAATTAAAAGGAGGGAAATTGCAAACTATGTAGAAATAAATAAAAGAATAACCTTAAATGTGTTCCCTATTAAAGAAGAAACATGAAAAAAATGAAGCAACTAGATTTCATTTAAGAAATTAGGAAAGCAACAAAAAATAAATCAAAATAAACTGATGCTCTGCCAGCTGACAGCAGCCACATGAATGACCTCATGTAAGATTAGCAGAAGAACTGCCCAACAAATCCCACATCAAATTATTGACCTACAAAATTGGTTGCAAATAAATGATTATTGTTTTAAATCACTAGTATTTGGGGTGGTTTGTTACGCAGCAATAGATAACTGATACAAAAAGGCTCCTCAAGAAGGATGAGGCTCTCTCTTCTCTATTCTACCATAATGCCTCTCTTATCACACCTGTAACACTGGAGTATCTGCCTTTCTTCCCCGCCACACTGGAGTCCTAGAGTATCTTAGTCATCTCAGTATCCCCTGTGCCTATCACATAAGTGTTCAATTGAGCTTTGTTGACCAGATGGCCACACATTTAAATGGGCTATTGCAGAGTTTGAGTCATTGAAAGAGGCCAAGGAGGGAAGCATTTTAAGAAAAAGGAGGAGTGGGGGCAGGCTGCATTCCTGCTCTAATTCCCCCCTCCTTTGTGAAGGCAGGGAGGTGAGAGAACAGCCCGTTCCACACAGCTCTTTAACTATGACCAAGAACGATTTACTTTAGGATCCCAAGAATGATTCCCAAATCTGAGGAGATTTTGTAATGTTCAGGCTACTGCGAATGGAGTGGGCCTCTGCAGGTCTGGGCAATACCTGGGTAAGGGGCAGTTCTCAGGCAGACCCGCTCAGGCATCTAGGCAATTAGCATGGGCTAGAATGCTTGCACCACTTCCAGTCTGTTCCTTCCTCTTCTTTCCTTCCTTCTGACTTTAAATATCCATCCATTTTATTCACAGATAATAACTGAAAGACCACTGTTTGATAAACGTTCTGCTAAGTGATGGGATAAAATCACAAGGTGTGGGAGGTTGGGCGGTATGGAGAGAGAGCACTTTTTGTAAAAAAGATTTTATTGGGGAATTGGGGGAGGGGAACAGCATTGGGGAATCGGGGAAGCAAACAGACAAGTTGCTGTCCTTTTGTTCTTCAGCCTAATTGTGGAGGACGTCGTTTTACTGGCCCATGTTGGTATTATCATTGCGCTTTTCCCAGGTGAGGCAGATCGGTCGCTGGCCTCTGGACGACCGCTCACGGCAGCTCTTGGCAGCTCACACCTGCTGCCAGCCGCTGGCCACACACGGTAGCTTATGGCAGCCCACTGCAGCCCCACTGCAGCCTACGCCATCACCTGCGACTCATGGCTGCCCAGCTCCAGGTCCAGCTGTTGTTCACCATCTTAGCGGTAGAGGGCAGTGTCACTGGCCCTCATGTGGGATCCAAACAGGGGCCCTGTTGCTCAGAGCTGGTGTCCCAAGCCAGCTCTTAACCAACGCGCCACTCGGCTGGCCCGAGAGAGCACTTTTTAATAACTTAAAAAAAAAACATTTTTATAAAACTTTGAAGTGGAAAAGAATGAAATTGAACCCTTACCTTATACAATGTTCAAAAATTAACTCAAAATGGATCAAAGACCTAACTGTAAGAGCTAAAATTATAAAAATATGAGAAGAAAACAAGAAAAGCTTCATAACATTGGATTTGGCAATGATTTTTTGGATATGACAACAAAAGCACAGGTAACAAAAGAAAAAATAAGTAAACTGGACTATATCAAAATTAAAACTTTGTGCATTAAAGGATACTATCAACAGAGTAAAAAGACAACCCATAGAACGGGAGAAAATATTTTCAAATGATATATCTGATAAAGGGTTAACATCCAGAATATGCAAAAACCTCCTACAACTCAACAACAAAATCCCAAGAATCCGATTTAAAAATTGGCAAAGGAATTGAACAGACATTTCTCCAGAGAAGACACTCACATGGCCAATAAGCACATGACAAGATGCTCAACATCACTTTTGTTAGAGAAATGCAAAGCAAAACCACAATGAGATACCACTTCATACCTATTAGGATGGCAATGATCAAAAACCAGAAAAATAACCACTGTTGAAAAGAATGTGGAGAAATTGGAGCCTCTCTGCACTGCTGGTGGGAATGTAAAATGGTGCAGCTATTATGGAAAACAGTATAGTTCTTCAAAAAAAGAAAAAAAGAAAGAATTACCATATGATCCAGCAATTCCACTTCTGGGTATATACCCAAAGTAACTGAAAGCAAGGACTCAAACAGAGATTTGTATACCCATGTTCATAGCAGCATATTCACAATAGCCAACAGGTGGAAACAATCCAAGTGCCCATTGACAGGTGAATAATAAAAAAAATGTGGTAAACACATACAATAGAATATTATTCAGCCTTGAAAAGAAAATTTTGACATGTAGTACAACGTGGATAAACCTTGAAGACATTATGCTAAATGAATAACCAGTCACACAAGGACAAATATTGTGTGATTCCACTTATATGAGGTACCTACAGTAGTCAAATCCACAGAGGCAGAAAGTGCAATGGTGGTTGCCAGGGGCTGGAGGGAGGACCGAATGGAGTGCTCTTGTTTGATGGGTACAGAGTTTCAGTTTTGCAAGATGAAAAGAGTTCTGGAGATGGATGGCTGGTGATGTTTGCACAACAATGTGAGCATACTTAATGCCACTGAACTGGATGGATACTTAAAAGTGGTTAAGATGGTAAATTTTATGTTATGCATACTTTACCACAATTAAGAATAAATAAGAAAGTATAAAAAACACATACAAGTAGAGAAAATAGTATAATTACTCTCAATAGATATGCCCTGTGAAACTATGAGTGCTCTCACACTCATGCCAATGACAAACACTTAAAAAACAAACAAACAAACAAACAAACGCCAAGTAAAGTAGATCAAATAATTCCAATTAAAGAAGAGGATCCCTTGAAATAAGAAAAATTGCTCCCTTAAGTCATTCTCCTTTTTCAGTATCTTCTATCTAGTGTTTTTCAACAAAATTAGGCATTACTTTTTATTTAGGATCTATAGTTTTCTTTTAAAATATAAAAGCTGTCTTTCATAGTCTTCCAATGACTCAATTTCCTTTTCTTCTTAGATATTCTCCTGAAAGAAACAGAACCTGGTTATTATTTATGAGCTGCAAATTATCACCACAGTATGACTCATTCAGTTACCTATTTATTCCATAAACAATGGTGAGTGACTGCCCTGTGCTAGGCACTGTGCTAGGTACTGGAGATATAAGGATGGGGGAGAGTTAGGACCCACTCCCTGAGAGAGGTATAAAAACATCAATTATGTTCCCAGGATCTTTCATAATAAAAAAATTTTTAATAGTCGTAATTCTTTATTTCCCAAATTTTCTATAATTATCATGTATAATTTCTTGATAGAGAAAAATGTAATTAAAAGAAAACAAGTAAAGGAAATAGAAGTGATGAGACATGTAACTGGCTTCTGGGTGGGTACCAGCCTCATCCATCCCACATGAGCATCCAACCACTTCCAAGATAGCCCATCCTTTCCCAGAGCAGTGGGATCCTAGTGGCATGATGTTAGCTGTCTCTTTCTAACTAGTACAAATTCTTTGCAATCTTTGATGGCTGTAAGCAAGAATATATATTTTCTATGATGGTACTTAATTTCTCAATTAACCCTTTAAGATTCAGCTCTCCAGAGCCTTCCCCAAAGCAGAAGTCATTTATTGATTTGTTCAGCAAACATGTACGAGTATTAATTGCCTACTTGACAGTAGATATTCATCTTAGATACTGGAGATAGGAGAATGATTGCAACACAATTCTTGCTTTCTAGGGGCTCACAGTCTAGGTAAAGAAAGAACTATAATGGTGGTCATAATAAAGGTATGCATAAAACACACAGCACAGTGGAGAGACAGATGCCCAAGATCTGACTCAGGTCTTCAATGGTTATTAGGAATTTGCCAGCTGCATGTGAAAGGACAAGAACAGAAAGGGAAAATATTTCAGGAAGACAGAACAGCATGTGTAGAGGCCTGGAAGGCAGAGACTGTATCTTGATCAGCTTTGATTTCCTAGTTTATTAGGATCGTGCACTGCACACGGTATGTCATCACTATTTGTTGAAAGAATGAAGGAATTGCTGCTTTCCTCACTAGTAGAAATAGAAGCTCCTACTATTTCAAAGGAATGTCAAGCAACTCCAAAAAAGTTTTAGAAATCTAAATTTAGGTTAAATATCTAAACACAAACACAATTTATATCATTTATTAAGCTCAACTCTCATAGATATAACTTCTCAGTTCCATATTAGATCTTTACTCAAAAATGTATAGACATGGAAAGGGAATACAGTAGATACCAACAAGCTGGCTGCTTGGCTCACAGTAATTTCTTTTTCTGTAAAGGGTCTCTATATAGGGTGGCCCCCAGCAGCTACATCTCTCTATCTTTTTTAACCGGTTGCCTCCTTCCCCCTACCTCCACCCAGATGAATGATATAAAGGTAAACCATATGATCCAAGACTTGTCAAACGAGGGCCCTAAAATAAACTAAGAGGTAGAATGCGAAGCTTGGCCATGATACCAGGCAGGAGAGGACACGGTTCACAATGGGACAGAACAAACCTGGCCCTCTTAGAAGGAGAGACCACAGGAAAGTTCTAGCAGTGTTCCAGTGCTGGAATCCACTCTCCCCGTGGCTCAGCTGGACCCCATCCTTCCAGTGGTTATGTAAGTAACCCCAGTATCCTTCCAATCAATTCCTCCTTTACGTCCTAGCTGATCTGAATTGGGTCTCTGTCACATGCACGACTGTCATAGGGAACCAAGACAGGCAATGGGAGACAAACTCACCCAGCTTCTCTGTGGCTTCCACACAGACACTAGGATACATGCCCTCGGTGTAAGTTGCCACCAGAAGATACAGCTGGGTCTTCACAACAACCACACCAGTGTTTTCCTGCATAAGAATAAAATAGAGTGTCCTTCTCTTGGTTCTAATAGCAGGACTAGCAGTTATCCTCCAGCCACATTTTTCACCATTTCCTGACTTCCATTTATTCATATATTTGCTTTTGGACTCTCCACTCTTTTCCACTAACTAAGTTGTCTTTCCTCAAAAATTTCAGATTGTTGTCATAGCAGCATGTGTATTTTGAAAAAGTTCCCCAATTGATTGTAATATACCCCTATCTCAATGAGAACAACTGATGTAATGGAAAAATATTATGTTTTGGAATTGGATAGCTCTGGGCTTGAATCCTAGCACCTCCACTTTCTGCTGCATGATTATGGAAGTTATTTAACCTTGTTTGGCCTCGGTTTCTACATCTGTAAAATGAGGCGACTTAAGTTTATAATGTGGATGAAGTGTGCCTAATACATAATTAGGGCACCCAGTAAATGTGAATTTCATCTTAATTCTTTACAGACAACAGAGAGTCAGGAGAGGTTTAAGCACAGAGTGATATCACATTTATTTATGTATGTATGTATGTATGTATGTAATGTATTTATTTATTTATTTAAATGAGGGTGTAGCATATGAAGGATGGACTGCAGTGGAGAGAGACAGTTCAGGCAAGATTTAGATTCTGGAATGAACATGTCTCAAAAACAGGCTTTGTTAGTACTTTCTTTTGCATATGCTTTCCCGGCACTAGACTGCTGTCTCAAACACTGCCATTGCAATAATGGGCTTAGTCTGTTTTATAGATAGGCTCAGAAGAGACACAGAAAATTGAAGTCAAGTTCTTTTCTAAAGGTTTTTACCCAGCTGTTTTCAAATCTTCAATACTCACATTCTTAGCATACAGAGAATAATCATCTGCCCGGACACATTTGTAGTCCTTTTCCTTGAAATACAGTCCTTTCCTTCTGGTTTGCAAAGGGTTCTTGGCAAATCCATTCACAAGTGTTTTGACATCACTGGGCATTACCTGCACAGGTTAAATAGGCTAGAAGTCAGCAAACTATGGCAGGCCAGCCAAATTTGGCCTACTGTTGATTTCTGTAGGCCTGCAAACTAAGAATGGTTTTTACGTTTTTAAGTAGAGTAATACCTTGGTTTGCGAGCATAATTTGTTCTGGAAACAAACTACTCATATTGCAAGACATGGCTCGTTTACCACGTTAAAATGTATTAGAAATGTTTGCTCGTCTTGCAGAACTTGCAAACCAAAGTTTTAGTATAGTTGGGGGGAAAAATCAGAAGAATAATATTTTGTGATGCGTAAAATTAATGAAATTCAAACTTCAGTGTTCATAAATAAAGTTTTATTGGAACACAGTCATACCCATTCTTTCATGTATTGTCTATGGCCGCTCCCCATTACAACTGCAGAGTAGTTATGTGGTTGTGACACAAACCATATGGCCTAGAAACCTAAAATATTTACTATGGCTCTTTACAGAAAAAATTTAAAGCTCTTATGCTCAAACTCGGTTCTTCTTTAAAACTCTGTGCCTAACCTTATTTTTTTCTTACACTGAATCCTGGTGACGCTACACACAGGCTGCGCTCCTGGAGTTTGATGAGGGCTGCGCTGTCCACGTGCTTCGTCCCCAGGAGGGTATCTAACAGTATGTTCTGCAAATGGCTCATGCTCCTTCAGCTCTGATATGGGCTGCAGCTTGAAAGGACCTGCTGTTTCGCGTTTAAAAGGCCTGTGAAGAGAAATCCCCCTAAGATACTTTGGACAGTTAAAACTGTCCTGTGGGGCCGGCAGAGTGGCTCAGTTGGTTAAGAGCTCGCTCAAGAGTTTGAGCTCTGAGCAACAGCGGTTCGAGTCCAGCCCGAGCTGAGCAGCCGCTGAGCTGCCAACAGGTAGCAGGATGGCTCAGCTTAAAAAAAACAAAAACAAAAAAAACTGTCCTGTGTACTTTGAAAAGATGAAAAGTGGAGACCCATTACCTAGTGTCCATCAATACGCAACGAGGGAAATAGAATCATAGGAAATCACCATTCACACAGAGTGGATTAGGAAGTGAGTTTGTCAAATCACAACTCATATTTTTTTAGCTATGTCAATGGTTTGCATCAGCATCATCTGGGATTAAGAAGGAAGAAACAAAAGCCTGCAGGGGTGGAGAAACCACTGAACTACAGAAAGGCTATGATATGCTGGTCATGAGTCCTCACAATCCCTTCCTACTGACCAGGACACTGATCAACACCCTAGGGGACGAAAAACACTTTTGAGTCATTTAAAGCGACATTTTCTGCAAAAGTCACCAAGTCCTCTTGGACCGTTCTCATCTGGCTAAGCTCCACAAATACTTGTCCTTCCAAGGGCTACTGAGGGCAGGCGTCCCTTTCCCATCACTCACTTCACGGTAGTTTGGCCCACGGCGTGGGGATCCCCCAGAGCGGAGCTGAGGAAGATGGAGGGGGGCTAATACCAGTCCTGTGGGCTGGGGAGACGCACAGGAGGCACAGGGGGCTGGGAGAGCGCGGTGGGCCAGGCGGGAGCGGGAGCCACCAAGCTCTCGGGCCAGGAGCCCAACGCTCCACCAGGGACTGGGGTGCCAGGCAGCCGGCCGTCAACGGACGCGGGGAACGGCCAAGTGCCGGCTATTGGCTGCGGCGGTTGCCTGTCACCGGGCAGCACTGCGACTGGGCTGCAAACCGGGACCTGGCGACCCGCGTCGCGCTGCAGGCTTCCCGGGTCCCTCTCCGCCGGACCGGGCCGCGGGAGCGCGGTTGCGCGGGGCTCAGAGACGCGGCGGCCGGGTCGCCGGAGCCAGCCGCCTCGCGGAATCCCGCGTCCCCCGCCCCCCGCGGCGCCGCGCGGACTCGTTGTCGTTGCCGCGGCGGAGGGACCGCAGGGGCCCCGCGTCCCCAGACACTGGACGCGAAACGTTCTCACGTTCCGAGGCGACGGGCGCGAGTTGCCTGGGCCACAGGCCTCGGGGGCTCCCTCTCCCGCTGCAGCCGACGCCCCCGGGGCCGCGGGCCGTCAGCCGGACCCCGCGCGGTGCAGCGGAGACGAAGGCCCTGCCCGTCTCGGGGGGCAGCTGAGGTGCCCGAGCGGCGGCGGCCGCACGCATCGTGCTGGCGGGGACCGGGCGGGCGGGAAGGGCCGCGGGCCTGGGTGCTGCAGGTCTACAGCGGAGCAAGCCCTGAATGCCAGCTTCTCCCACCGACGCGGCCCTCAGGGTATGGGGTTGCTTTGGGGACAGAAAGCTCCCCGTGTCTAAGCAGCGCTGCCTGTGTGGACTGCAGCAGCCACAAAGTTGCGAACTCCTCGTTCGCGGTCATCAGTCTGAAAACGGCTGCAGTGTGACTCCTGGGCCAGGCTGGGAACACACAGACGCCAGCGGGCTCTGTGGTGGAAGGACGTGGGAAGCCTGGAACTGCAGCGGGGCGTGGGTCCGGGCAGCGAGAACCTCCCTGCTTTAAAGGAGGCTGGTTCTGAAGACGTTTTCAGCAGCTATGGTGAAGGCCTCTGGTTAGGGCAAGTGTATAGACGGCTCATGTTCAGAATCCATTCCACGTCCGTTCAGGGTCGCAAAGTATTGATTACTAATTAAAAAGAAGAGAACATAAGATGATTATGAATTCTCATTACTAAATAAGCTAATTTTTTAGTTCTTCTAGGGGCTCTGTTATTTGTGACCACAATGAAAAATTTAGACAACGATGATCGGATAACCGACAGACTTTCCACGCTCAGGAGCTCAAAAGAATGGTTGGCACCACAGCCACTTCCTTTTATAGAGGTACAACAGTATGGCATTTTGAAGTTTATACTTGGGTATTTGCATTGAGAAGTGGCTTGCGCTAAATATATTTTTCTATGTTTTCTATTTCATTCTGCTCTTTACTAGTCCCTTCAGTCTACTAACTTTGTGTTTACTCTTCATTTTCTACCTTCTTAAGGTAGAATATAACAAAGTTATAAAGTTTCTCTTAAGGCACTGCTTCAGCTGTATCACCCAAATTTATACATGATGTGTTTTTGTAAGATGGTAATTTCCTTTTTTCTGAATAGCTTTATTAAGGTATAATTGATATACACACAATATTTTGCATATATTTAAAGTGTATATGTATTTAAATTTTGACATATGTATTCACACATGAAACAATCACCACAATCAAGATAATGACCATATTCAATACTCCCAGTTTCCCCATTGTGTCCCTTGGTCATTTTTCCCTACCTGCCTGCCCTGCCCCCAAGGCAATCACTGATTTGCTTTCTGTCACTAAAGTTTATTTTGCATTTTAAAATTGTTACATAAATGTAATATTTTACAGTATGTATTCCTTTTGTCTGGTGTCTTTCACTCAGCATAATTATTTTGTAATTCATCCATGTTGTTGCATATACTTCATTCCTTTTCTTTTTTTTTCCTGAATGCTATATAACCCAGTTTGTCCATCCATTGATAGACATTTGGGTTGTTTGCAATTTTGGGGTATCACAAATAAAGCTGTGAGGAACATTCACGTACACGTCTTTGTATGGACATACGCTTTCATTTCTCTTGAGTAAATATCTAGTTGTGGAATGGTATGTCATATGGTAAATGAATTTAACTTTTTATGAAGTTGCCAAAGTGTTTTCCAAAGTGATTGTGCTTTTATATTTCCACTGTATGAGAATTCCAGTTGTTTTGCATCCTAGCCAATGTTTGGTAGTTGTGTGTGTGTGTGTGTGTGTGTGTGTGTGTGTGTGTAGTTTTTTAAAATTTGAGACATTCTGAAAGATGTATAATGGCATCTCACTGTAGTTTTAATTTGCATTTTCCAAATGACTACTGATGTTGAGGATCTTTTCATACCTTCTTGCCATTTATATATGTTAATGAAATATTTGTTCACCTAGTTTGTTGATTTTTAAATTGAGCTGTTTTTTTATCTTATTGTTGAAGTTTTATTATTGAGATATAATTCACATACCATAAAATTCACTACTTAGTGTACAGTTCAGTGGTCTTCAGTATATTCACAACCTTGGGCAACCATCACCACTAATTCTGGAACATTTTCATCACCCTGAAAAGAAACCTCATACCCTATAGCAGTCACTCCCCATTCCCTTCTCCCCTGGCCTCTCACAACCACTAATCTACAATACTTTCTCTCAGATTTGTCTATTCTGGACATTTTATACAAATAGAATCATATGGTATGTGGTCCTTTGTGACTAGCTTCTTTCACTTAGCAGACTGTTTTCAGGGTTCATCCATGTTGAAGCACATATCAGTACTTTGTTCCTTGTTATGGCCAAATAATATTCCCTTATAGGATATACCACGTTTTATTTATCCATTCATCAGTGGACGGGCATTTGGGTTGTTTCTAGTTTTGGCCATTATGAGTAATGCTGCTATGAAAATTTGTGTGTAAGTTTTTGTATGAACATATGTTTTCAAGTCTCTTGGGTAGATAACCTAGGAATGGAATTGCTATGCCATATGGTAACTATGATGAACTTTTTGAGGAACTGGCTATTTCCTGAAGTGACTGTACCATTTTCCATTCTCATCGCCAATGTATGAATGAGGAGTCCAATTTCTCCACTGCTTGGATTTCATTGAACCACTTACATCTGTGGGCTTATAGTTCCCAACAACTTGGGAAAAAATTTCAGCCATTATTTCTTCAAATGTTTTTTCTATTCCCCCCACTTTGGGAAATACAATTATACGTATACGACGTAACAGCCTGCTTGAAATCATCCCAAAGCCCACGGACACTCTGTTCATTTTTTTCAGACTCTTTCTCCCCTGCATTTCATTTTGGATAGCTTCCATTGTTATGATTTTTAAGTTTACTAATCTTCTGTAATATCAAATCTGCCAATAAGCCTGTCTGGTCTATTCTTCATCTCAGACATTATAATTTTCATCCCAAGAAATTTTATTTGGGTCTTATATCTTTCCCTGTCTCAAAACCTCTACTGTTTCAAAGCTCTAGCTTCCTGAACTTATGAACTACAGGTATAATAATTATTTTAATGTCCTCTAATAAATATATCGTCTGTGTTATTTCTGGGGTAGTTTTGATTGATTTTCTTCTTCTTTGTATGCCTGTTTTTGTTTTTTTTTAATTGGATGGCAGAAATTGTGAATTTTTCCTTGTTGAGTGCTGGATATTTCTGATTTCCCATAAATATTCTTAAGCTTTGTTCTGGGATGCAGTTAAGTGACTTGACATAATTTGGTTCTTTCAGGTGTTGCCTCCACGCTTTGTAAGGCAGGAGCACAGCGGCATCTAGTATGTGGCTAATTTTGCTCCACAACTTACAGAAAATCCCTCCAAGCACTCAACTCTGTGCTTTGTGAATCATGGAGTTTTTCACTATGGTTGATGTTAAGGGGAATAACTCCTGGGGCTGTATCACCTCTAGGAATCATTCCCCTAATCCTTTCATGTGCTTCTCAGCCCAGTGTTTCTTTGGGTAGTTTCTCCACTTGCATATAATGCTCAGCATTCAGCAGCGGAATCCAGGGGAACCCTCTATACACCTAACCCTCTGCTGGTCCCCTAAGCTCTTTCTTTGTGTAACTCTCCTCCCTCTAGTACTCTGCCCTATGAATGATAGCTGCCCTGGCCTCTCCAGACTCCCGGCTTCCCTTCCATTTCAGGGAGACAGCTAGTTTCTACCAGATATCCATCTCTGTGCCAGTTTGGAAATTCTTTCCAGGTACTAAACTGAGCCACTATAGGGCTTAGTTTGCTTTCTGTTTCTCAGGGGCCACTGTCCTTCTTTTTTTCCAAGTGTTGACTACCGTCTAGTTTCTCCCTGCTTTTTTGGTCAGTCTCTAGTGTCTTCAGGTTGTTGGTTTTTATATTTTTGTCTAGAATATTAAGTCAGTACCCATCTTGGTTTAGAGAATAACAGATTTTCCAGGATGGCAACTCTGTGGGGCAGAAAGAACACAGAAAATTAATTGGGATAAGTGTGTTTGAAGCGAGGGGGAGTATTTTGAGGAGGAGTAATGGCAATGTGTTTTTTACTTTTACTGTAATAAATTTGTTTTTATTTAAACATTCACCATATTGTTTGATCACACCTTGTATATAGCATAATACTGTTTTTAACCATTTTTAAGTATATAATTTAGTGACATTAATTACATTCACATGTATTATAGAAATAAACCTCTTGTATTTTCTGGTAATTGTGGAAGATTTATTATGAAAATGGAAAAAATTAATGTTATGAACTATTTCCTGAAGATTGTGTTGCTTTAAAATCTGAAAGTGTGACTTGTATATAAAAATGTTAATATTTGATAGCTATAATGACAAAATGAGTTCAAACAGAGTTCACTAACGACCAAATGAATTCAAATAGAAGCCTCATTTTATCCATTTTAACCTGTAAAGGTAAAAGAATTTTACAGATGTGAAAAAAGATGTGTTTTACCAACCATATGACTCTGGGCAAGTCATTTGTCATTGTCGGGACTCAAAAATGTTTGATCTGAGTTATTTTTTGCCTTAGAATGAGCTGTAGCTTAAAGAAAAAAGATTCAAATATGCTTTAAAAATACTTTATGATATGATTTTAGGTACAAAAACTGGATTTACAGAGAACTTTCCAGGGATATTTCTATCACATAAAATGAGTCAAGATAGCGTTAATAGTTTGATTTTTTAAGGTTTAATTTTAAAATTTTCATTCTGTCATTTTAGGAATTAGCTAGTGAAGATATTGATGTAGCTACGACATCAATATTATATAGAGAACATTATGTAATTAAGGTAAGAATTGGCTATAGAATGTGTCAATTAAAAATATTTTTTTTCCCATTTTATATGTAGTGCATAGTATTTATAAAAATTTTAGAAAATATAGAAAACAGAATTAAAAACACTCATTAGCCACTAGGATTAACCTTAAGAGGTCTCTGAGATTGCTTTAATTGACTTCCTCTCTTCCTATACTTTGTGGAGATTCTTTCACAGATACCTTATAAGAGTTTTTCCCTTCTCACTTGTTCCTTCATCTTAGTGGGGCTTCCATGGAGTCACTGTGCATTCTCAACAGCTTTAAGAGTTGTTATGGGAACACAGTGACCGATTATTACTCAGACATACCTAGGTAAGAACAAAGCTAACTGTAGCAGGATGGGTTTAATTATAAGATAAGACACATGTCCATGTAAGTACATTAAACCCTGGAGTGGGTAACCTGTTTTTGTTTTTAAGAATTATTTTAGAGTTGTTTAAAAGGGAAAGGAGCTATTCATTTAGATTGTTGAAGTGTTCTATGACCTGAAGTTTGAGAGGGATAATCCCCACGAAGAAGGAAGCTCTCAGGGTTTTTTGTCTTTCTTCTGTCATTTTGAATTTTATCTTGTTGATCCTACTAATTACATAATTTCATTTGCTAGATAAAAGGTGGATAAGTTTTGTTGAGAATGATGTAGTTTGTAGCCTAAATCAGGCATTTTCTCTGCAGGCTACTTGCCATTTGGGCCAGGCTGTGCTACACTTCTGTCTCTGCTTTTGTCTCTTTTTTTCCCCCCACAGAATATTCTTCCACCTTCTGTCATCCTTTCTCCTCCTAGATAATTCTTCATTCCTTAAGGCCATCTGAAAGGTCTCCCACTTTGGGAAGTTTTAAAATTTTAATCATGTTCCCATTGTGGTAAAATATATATAACAAAATTTGCTATTTTTAACCATTTTAAGTGTACAATTCAGTGACATTAATTACATTTACATGTTGTACAACCATCACTGCTGTTTCCAAATAGATGGATCTGTGCAACCATCACCACTACCTATTTCCAAAACTTTTTCATCACCCCAACTGAAACTTCATACTCATTAAGCAATAACTCCCCGTTCTTCCCTCTCCCAGCCTCTGGTAACCTCTAATTTACTTTCTGTCTCTATGAATTTGCCTATTCCAGGTATCTTATGTAAGTGGAATCCTACAATATCTGCCTTTTTATGGCTGGCTAATTTCACTTGGCATATTGTTTTCAAGGTTCATTTATGTTGTAGCATATATCAGAACCTCATTCCTTTTTATAGTTGTGTATTATTCCATTGTATATGCCATATTTTGTTTATATGCATTCATCTGTTGATGGACACGTGGGTTGCTTCCATTCCACCTTTTGGCTATTGTGAACAATGCTGCAGTAAGTATCTGTCTGAGCCCGTTTTTAATTCTCTTACATATATATAACTTACTGTATTGTCTCTCCTCCCACTGTTCTGTAGATTTGTTTTGTAGTCTGTCTCCCCAGGGAGAGAAGGCATGTTGTCTAATTTATCCATGTATTCCTTGTTTCCAGTATAGTGTGTGTCACACAGTAGAGGCCAAGTAAATGACTGAATTAATGAATGACTGTGGATTATTCTTAGGAATATAAATGCAGTTTAAATTTTAGAATAAGAAAGCTTTAACATAATTTGTCTTTTCTATCATTGTTTACTAGGAACTAGATAAGTGTTTACAACATCATGACTTCTTAAATGCAAGAAGAAAAGAGATGTTATATAAAAGATGGGTTGCCCGTGTGGCAGATCCTCTCCAGAAGAAAATTTTAGAAAAAGTTTGTTCACATAAGAAGATTAAACAAAGGAGACAAGAGGAATCAGATAGTTTTTTAAAATATGTAAATAAAAAGGTATTAAGAGATCATTTGATACTTTTTTCAGTTGTTTTAAAAACTATGGTTATCTTTATAATTATCCAAGCAGCCTGCCCCTCTCTACTCTACATATGTGTAATCTACACTCAGTTGTAGCATATACTATTCTTAAATCCAGGACATGTGGAAATGATGGAGGGGGGAAGTTAGATCTGGATTCAGATGAATACATTAGGATCATTCTTGTTTGTTGTTCCCATGTAACTATTACTTTTATATACTAATTAAAACAATTTGGACTCTAGGTTCAGGACACACACATACACACACACATTTGTTCTGGAACTTGATTATTTACAAAGCTATAAAATATTTCTGTTCTCCTGGCATTTTAAAGAGATCTGAGATGTTTGAACAGCAAGCATGTAAGAACAAATTCCCAAATCTTTCAGTGTTCCAACATTTTTTATTAAAATCTTGCAAATTTTAAGTAAATTCCTTTTATCACTATAGTATTTATTACTTGGATATAATTTCAAATTTGGTCTTCCCTTCTCTTTTGCATTTGTCACTGATGCCATTTTGAAGTACAAGAATGGAACTGTATGTTTCACAAGTCCTGTTATGCTAAAAATTAATTGCGCATCTCTTGTTCTTATATGTGGTTTATTTCCTTCCTATAGGGAAATGCATTTATAGAGCATTATGATCCAAAAGAGTATGATCCTTTTTATGTGAGGAAAGAAGACGTGAATTTTCTGAAGGTAGGATAGATTTTTTTATTTTAACTCGAATTATGTAGTTGGTTTTTTTGAGCAGCCCTAATATATGAGTCACCCTTTAGTGATTCCCTAAGAATGTAGTAGCATCCTAAGAATAGCTTCTCATTTCCATATTGTAGAAAAAGAACAAAAAATCCAAAGTCCAAAGTAAATTAAACCTCTGAAAATTTTGAAAATATTATATAATAATTGGATAACAAGGTCTGACAATTAAGTTGGTGAACTCATCCTAGAAAAAGTGCTACATACCTCATTGCTGAATATCACTATGGTCACCTTTGAAGTACTCCCCTTGGGAAGCTATGCACCGATGCCAGTGCCTCGTCCATCCTTCAAAGCAATTTTGGAACTCTTTTTCTGGAATGTCCATCAGAGCTGTCGCTGTATTATCCTTGATGTCCTGAATGTCATAAAAATATCTTCCTTTCAATATTTCCTTTATCTTCGGGTAAAGAAAGAAGTCTTGGGGGCCAGATCAGGGGAGTAGGGAGGGTGTTCCATTACAGTTATTTGTTTACTGGCTAAAAACTCCCTCACAGACAGTGCCATGTGAGCTGGTGCATTGTCGTGATGAAAGAGCCACAAATTGTTGGCAAAAAGTTCGGGTCGTCTAATTTTTTCACGCAGCGTTTTCAGCACTCCCAAATAGTAAACTTGGTTAACTGTCTGTCCAGTTGGTACAAATTCATAATGAATAATCCCTCTGATATCAAAAAGTTAACAACATCGTTACAAGTTCGTGAACTTAATTGTCTGACAGCGTACTAACTAGTAAGATAGCTAGTAAGGGGCAATATTGGGACTTGAAACCAGATCTTTTTGATACCCAAATTCCACTCTATTCTTTTACCATGCTGTCTTTCTAAATCAAGCTGAGAGGTGACATCTTAAGGTAAGCTGAGCACACTGAAATTACAGCAGCAGTTCTCAAAGTGAAGTACATAGACCTGTGAAAGCCCTGAAACCTTTTTAGGGGTCCACTCGGCCAAATCTTAATGGTGCCAAATATTATTTGCCTTTTTCATGTGTTGACATTTGCTCTGATGGTGCAAAAGTAATGGTGCATAAGACTGCTGGTGACTTAGAAGAACTTAAGTCAGTGTTACCAAATATACTTCATATTCTTTATTGTCATGCATTTGCAGTAAAAAAAATTCAATTTTACTTAATATTCTTGATCAAGTAGTAAAACTTATTAATTTTATTAATTCTTGCTCCTTTTTAATATTCTGTGTGATGAATGGGAATTATGCAAAGAACACTGCTGCTGCATACTGAAAAACAGTATGATTGAACTGTGAGCTAAACTGGCTGATTTTTTTTTCATGGAACACCATTTTTACTTGAAAGAATAACTTTTAAAACTATGGTTATTAAATCTTGGGTATTTGGCAGACATTTTCTGGAAAATTCACAAAATGAGTCTGTCACTTCAAGAAAAACAACTGACAATATTTGTTGCCGATGACAAAATGTGAGCTTTTAAGCAAAAAATTTGAATTTTGGAAAAATCATATTTACCGTCAGGACTGTGAAAGCATCCCAATACTCAAAGACTTTACTGATGGCATTGGTAATAATATTAATGAATGTGATTACTGTATAATGAAATGTATTAACATTTGGAAGATTTCACATAACTCAGTGATCCGAGCTTTTCCAAACAAACAATTCATGACATGGATGAACGATCCATTCCAAGTTCAAGTCAGACCAATGGATTTTAATGTAGCAGAGTTTGAATAATTTATTGATATAGTTTCAGATTCTACATCAGAACCAACCTTTAAGAAACTATCACTTGTGGAGTTTGGGTTTGGTATCTAAAAAGAATATCCACAATGATCTGAAGAGGCTATTAAACTAACCACAGCTGGAGGGTCTTGATAGGAGATGTATTGGAGTGCCCTATCTCAGTTATGGTTAAATATATATTAATAGTGGTTAGACTAACATTAGTTTGTAGATACTGTATCCTTGATTCTTCTGGCATAACAGCCATAAATGGATATTTAGGGTTGACTGAAACAGACCTGAAACTCAGTCCTCAAAGAAGTGCTTTTCTTGTAGGTTACCATCCCACCACTTCGTGATCCTTTGAAAAAGGCACAATATAACAAAGATGATGAAAAAAGAACTCTCCTTCAGTGTGAGACTGGTACTTACTTTCTAATTGTTATGTGATTTCATAACCCTGGAATAATGGGAATTGCATTTAAGTGTGCTAATTTAGGTTACTGATCTTCTTGCAGGCAAAATATATACGATGAAAGAATTTAAAGAGGTTGAGAAGGCCAAAATGTACTCCAGATTCCCAAGAATTTCTAATACAAGGCACTTTATGACTCCAAATGAGTGGCTTAAACTGCCTACAAGCTACATAGAAAGTGAATTTTGTAAAAGGAGCAGGTAATGGTTAACATTATAGAAATTATGAAACCTATTGGAATTGGAAAACTTTCTGAGACAGAGATATAAATTTTGTCTTAGTTATGATTCTTTTTAAAATTTGTTTTCAATGAGAAATATACTGTAATTCTTGTCTTTGTTCTTCTGTATGTCATGTTTCTTTTTTCTTGGGTACTTTCAAGATTTTTACTTTGTCTTGGGTTTACATTAGCTAGACTATGATGTGTATAGGTATTTTTTTCCTTTTCTTTCTGTTTATTTTAGTTAGGGTTCTCTTAGATTCTTCTATCTGTGATGTGATATCTTTCATTATTTTTTGGGGAAATTCTAGGCCATTGTCACTTCAAATATTTCCTATGCCCCATTCTTTGTTTTTAGTTCTGAGACTCCAATTATATCTATGTTAGACAATTTGATGCTGTCCTATAGCCACATAGCTCTTAGATACTCTTTGTTTAAAAATTTTTTTTCTCCTTGTATTTCAATTGGACCATTTCTACTTACCTATCTTTAAGTTCACTGAGTCTTTCCTCAGCTGTGTCTCACATACTGACGAGCCTATCAGAGGAATTCTTCATCTCTGATGTGATGATTTTTATTTCTAGTATTTCCATTTGATTTTTTGCAGTTTTCATTTCCCCTGAAATTCTCTGTTTATACATGTTGTTCACTGTCCCATTAGATTGTTTAATATATTAATCATAGTTATTTAAATTCCCTATCTGATTGTTCCAACATTAGGGTCATTTCTGAATCTGGTTCTGATGATTGCTTTATCTCTTGACAGTGGGTTATTCTGTTTTGTCTTTTTGGGGCATGTCTTGTAAATTTTTGATTGAATGCCCTTCTCAGATATATTAATACAGAAACCCCTTTTGTCATTAATAATGCTTTGCACACTAATATAGATGTTTGCTATACCCATTTATTTTCTTTTACTCAAATCACATTTAAAAATCCACATTTTCTAGGAAAACACATTCTGATTAAATTAGGGCTGGACTGATCCTTTCCATGAATTCTTTGTATGGACATCTGCATGCCAGGTGTGCTGAGCATGTTAGTTAGAAGAATGGCCAGGGCTCTTGGTTTCAGACAACTGAATCTACACTACAAAAGGATTCCATTTTTGAGGATTTATACTGCTCACAGAATCATTGGGAGGTCTTAAGAAACAGGGCTGAGTTTCAGGAATAACTCCCAAACTCACGTGCAGAACTGGTTGGCAGAGGTATGTGTTGTTCCTGCTATGATCAGGAAGCTGCAGAATCAGGGGGGTGCTGCTCCAGCTGCTGGCCTCAGAACCACACCAGCTCTGCTGTGATCTGTGCCAGCAGATGGCTGCCCCTCTGAGGGCCAGTATCACCCCCGTACTCTACTCTCGAGTGGGGGCAAGACTGGAAGGATCTAAAGGCACCTGTCTGCCACCTTATGGCAAGAGAGGCTGGGAAATGGAGTTGTGTGGGTTCTCTCTGGGAAACACATTTTATATTTATGCTTGTAAATGGCACAGTCTCTATGGCTTCTTTTTACGTTAGTGTATGCACTCCCAGTGTGTAGGGAGTGCTTTAAACTTTGCCTAGCTGAGTCTAGTTTCTCAGTCAACAGTAAACCAATCTCCAGCATGGTTTCAGCAACTTACACACCCAAAAATACACACAAGTTTGAAGTTATGGTATTTTGGACAATATACATAGATGTCAATATATAACAAAAATTTCTGGAAGAGTATAAGCTAGTATTGTTTTCAAAACATCCTCACGCATGTTATCTTGTTAAAGGTTAAAAGTGAAAGTGAATTTTAACGTTACTAGTTTTGATTTGAAACCCTCGGCAAGACCTCCTCATCTTCTGGAATCCCAGGAAGAAGAAAAAGCAGTTAGTTACAAGTAAGCCTGTTGTTCTATAGCTTTGCTCTTCTTTTATTTAAGATGCTTGGCTATGTTTCCACCCTTTGCCATCCTTTTAAGTTGCTGGAGTCAGTGCCCAGGCATATGAAAGACTCCTGGGGAATGACACCAGGCATGTCCCACCACTGTGTCTGGATGAGGCGGCAACTGTCCTCAGCTCTGGTCTTTTTTTTTTTTTTTTTTAATTTGGGAATTGGGGGATGGGAGCAGCGCTGGGGAATTGGGGGAAGGGGAACAGACAAGTTTCTGTCTCTTTGTTCTTCATTCTAGTTGTGGAGGACGTTGCTTCACTGGCCCTAGTTGGCACCATCATTGCGCTTCTCCCGGGCGAGGCAGATCAGTCGCCGGCTTCTGGACGGCTGCTCACTGCGGCTGCTGGCCGCTCACGCTGGCTGCTGGCTACACACGGTAGCTCATGGCNTTCTGGACGGCTGCTCACTGCGGCTGCTGGCCGCTCACGCTGGCTGCTGGCTACACACGGTAGCTCATGGCAACCCACTGCCACAGGGGCTGCAGGCCTACACCAGCGCCGGCGACTCACTGCAGCCCAGCTCCAGGTTGAGCTGTTGTTCAGCATCTTAGCTGTAGAGGGCAGTGTCACTGGCCCTCTAATGTGGGATCCGAACCGAGGCCCTTTGGCGTCCCAAGCCAGTTCTTAATCAACGCGCCACTCGGCCAGCCCAGCTCTGGTTTTAAAGAATGAATAGCTAACATATTTAGAACTAACAAGCACAGACATAGGAAAACATTGTTAACAACTCATATTCAAAGTGAGATTTTAATTGGAGCAGTAAAAACGGTATCTTGGACTAGTTTTGCTGGGTAGTGGCTGTTACAGTATTGTACCCAGAGTGAAGAGAAGTTATAAGCAGAGAAGTGGTACAGACTCCTGTGTGTGCAACATGAGGAATCATCTCAATGAACTGGTTATGGAATTAAGAGTAAGAGACTTCTCCACATAGCCACATAGCTTGTTAAAGGTGTGTAACCTGTTAACTATCTGATAAAAAGTAATGGGATCCCTCAGACTTTGATGGAGGGAATGTAAAGGATGTGATGGCTTTGGAAAACAGTCTGGCAGTTTCTCAAAAGCTTAAACATTAAATTACCATGTGATCCAGCAATTCAACTCCTAAGTTTCTACCCAGGAGAAATGGAGACATGTCCACATAAAGACTTGTACCTGAGTGAGTGTTCATGGCAGCATTATTTACAATTGCCCCAAACTGGAAATGACCCAAAAGTTCATCAATTGGTGAAAGGATAAACAAAACGTGATGTATTTACATATGGAATACTATTTGGCAATTAAAAGGAAAAGAAGTACTGATACATTCTACAACAACATGGATGGACTTTAAAACTATTATACTCAGTGAAAGAAGACAATCACAAAAGACTATTGTATGATTCTATTTATATAAAATGTCCGAAAAAGCAAATCTATAGAGACAGGAAACAGATTACTGGTGGCCTAGGGCTGGGGCTGGGAACGAATGACTGACTGTAAATAAGCGTGATGTTTTGGACTCATACAAATGTTCTAAAATTATATTGTGATGATGGTTGCACAACTCTGTAAATATACTAAAAATCATTGGTGTGGACACTTAAAATGGGTGAATTTTATGGTGTGTAAATTATGTCTCAGTAAAGCTGTTGATAATAAAAAAAGACTCTGGCAAGGTGGAAGAAAAATGAGCTCATATGAGCTCATAGGAGGCTGGCTACAATTCTCTGTTCCTAAAAAGCCCCCAAGTAAGCTGCAGTGGTTTCCTTTTCCTTTTTCTGAATAGGTTCAGAATTTGATGAATAAATACAGTGTGGCAGAAGCTGGGGGCTTTTAGAGATGCTTGGTGCTGGCCTGGCCAGCAGACAGAACTACTCACTGCCTCATGAGGAACTTAGTGACTTACAGTAGGAACAGATGACCGCTGGAGATGGAGCGGGCCATTGTGGGCTTCTCGGTGTGTCTGAGGTGTGGTGTGACAATCTGCTGCTTTTTGCATGGGAGCTGAGATTGAGGGATGATGGGAAGTATTGACACGAAGCCCTACTACTCACCTGGCAGCTGAAGCCTTAAAAGATGGAATGTTCAGATCACTCTTGTATAACTAGGTTCCAAAAGCGTAAGTTCCTCTGCAATCTTTAACTGCCATGGTCTCTGACTGACCTGTTTGGGTCAGGTTTTAGGATAATAAACATCTTAATCCTATTTAATTTCTGTTTGTGGTATAAAAGGAGGGGTTTTGTCCTCAAATACCTCTCCTAGCAGAGTGAGACCTAGACATGAAGAATACTGCACTGTTGAAGTACGTATGGCTTACATTTTAGACTAAAGGCTTAAGTCTATGAACTCCCCCTGGGATAAGCAGGAGGAAGATTAGATTCTCTTCTGTGAATGAGGATCAGGGGTGGAGAAGGCATATTTGTCTTTGGCACAGTTAGACCTGCCCAGGGGAGGCACATGGACAATTCTGTGAACGGCCATTTACTCTGAAAGACCCTCACTCAGCTTATTAGGCAGCAAAGAGAGTTCAGATGAAAATATTACTGGAGCCAAGTAATGCCATTTACTTGGGTTTCCTTTTCATAAAAACATGCAAATTCATATAGAACTCATCAGATTTAAATAAAAAATTAAATGCTACAATTGAGTTCACCATTAACGAGAACTCTTTCCTTTCTGGTTCCCTCCCTACAGAAACAAGGAGTCATGCTGTCTGGAAAAAGAGCCTCTGTGTTGTCAGGAGGGAAAGAATCCAAGTCCTAAGGAGGACAGCTCTGAGGGGCACTTTCCTTCCTTGACCCCTGGCCAGGAGGAAGAGTGGGATGATGACCAGGACGCGGTGAGCGCTGCGGGAGTCCCGTTTTGCAATACACAAGGCAGCAACTGCTGATACCAAAATCTGAGCAGCTGGGAGCATCTCCGTGTGGCGGGCTTCTAGGAAGAGAGGAGGCAGTGCACCTGCCCTTCCCACCCACCAAAAAAGAAAAAGAAAGGTGAGGGAGAGAGTAGGAGAGACTGAGGCAGGTTTCCTTTCTCAGAGGGAATGGACAGAGCTGCCTCTGGGACCTACACAGCGGAGGTGCCCTCTAGTGGGTGGGCTATGGGGCACCTCGCTCCCTCCTGAGTTTGAGCCCGTCTCTCTCTCCACCATCTCTACCATCTCACTACCAATTTACCACTTGCCACACCCAAACCAGGCCCAAACGTTTGTTCCCCTTAATCCAGCAATGACAGGCAGAACGTTTTCTACAGGACTATATACTAAAGTAGTAAAATTGAAGAAATAAAGTAAAAGCCTCAACGTTTACAATGTAAAATGTATAGAAGTATCGGTGCTCGCTGAGCACAGACTCCTCATCCTAGTGTAACTACAGTTAAACTTGGTGGCCACGTGACTGGTCTAGCCTGGCCGACTTCCCTCCAGGCCTAGGGGCCATTTCTCCCCTTCCGTTCTCTTCTCCACATGCTGTGTCCCAGGGCTCTGGAGTGTAGCCTCTTTCAGGAGTGGGTTCCAGGAGCAGTCACAGCCCACCCTCCCCTCTCCCAGTTAGAAATCAACACGGGAACGGTTTGTTGGTCTGAGTAGACAGTCAGTGTTTCCTTTTTCTTTTTGCCTGTCTCTCTATGTCCCCACTCCCACCGTAAAGAATAAAAGAGCTACTTTTTTCCCCCCTCACTCATAGTAAATGTATTAAAACTATTTTGTGGTTTAACTCCTATTACTGTCATATTTTAGTACCCTCCAATGTGCTTCCTTTCATCCTCAAAATGTAACAAGTGCCTATTCTGAGCCAGGTAGTGTTTAAGGGGCTGGAGACAGTGTTAAACAAAATAGATAAAGCTCTTATCTCGAGGAGCTTAGATTATGATGGGGGAGACAGACAATGAACAAATGAATCAGTATTTAATATCCTGTGAGCTAGTAGTCAGTGCAGTGAGGAAAGTAAAATGGGGAAAGTGGGGCAGAACAGCTACCCCAACAGAGTAGATTTAATGGATGGTGAGGAAAGAAATTTATGCTGCTTTACAATCATACCCTACAAACCCTCCTTATGTACTGTAATGGTTGTAGGTATCTTGAATTTAACCAGCCCCAAATAGGATCATTTCTTACTTTTGCACTTCTGCTCCTCTTCCTGCCAACCTGCTTTCACTCCAAATTTCCCCTAGTTTCTTGAATAGGACCATAATCCAACCAGGCCCCATCAGGACAAAAACCTAGGCATCGTCGTTGAGTCCTTGCTTTCACTCACCTGCCATGTGTAACAGGTAATGAGCTCTGTCGGCTCGTTCACTCCTGGTTCCTCGCTACCATCACCGGCTCAAGCCACTGTGCTCTCATCTGGCCTAGCGCACTCGCCTCCTCACTGGTCCTCCTGCTTCCGCTCTCACCCCTGATTAATCTATTCTCCATGCAGCAGCCATATTCTTTAAAAATGTTAATGAGATTAGATTTCTCCCCTACTCAAAACTTTCAAATGGCCGCCCCTGACATTTTGGATTTTTCCCCCCTTATCATGCCTCTAACCCCCTATATGATCGGGCACCTGTCTCTTCTGCAGTCCTGCCTCCCGCCTCTTCCTCCTCACTCATTATGTTCCAGCCTCACTGGCTTTCTCTTGTTCTCTGCACTTGCCTACCTCGCTCCCATTTCAGGCTTTTGCCTCTGCCAGGAAGATGCTTGCCCCAGATCTCTCCACGTCTCAGCTCCTCAGTTCACTCAGACCTCTGCACAGATGTCACCTCTTCAGAGAGGCCTTCTCTGACTTCTCAAAATTGTCCCTCTCATCCTTCCTACCCCCTTCACCCGTGAAGAGGTGGGATACACTTCTCAAATGGAGGGCAGGACAATCTGTCAAGCGTAAGAGGAAAAAAGGCACAGCACATGCATATAGACAGATGAAGCTATTATGGCTTGGTGAATTTTGTGAAGGAAGATTGTTTACTTCTGTTTACTTCATTTTCTCAATGAAGTGAGGTCATCCATCAGCTGATAGTGAAGGTGAAGGACAGAGATTTAGAGTCTTGAAAAGAGAAGGGAAGAAAGGAGTCTAGTCTTTTCTAAATCACAACAATCCGAATTAGCACTGCAGACATTGACATCTGAAGCAGGACCACAGGGGGTCCCTCAAATCATATCACACATATAATCGGGTTGGCTGTATCCCTGAATCTCTGCATGTTTCTGAATCCGGAAAGAGTGAGGAGGGGCTGAGGCAGGAGGTGTAGGTGAGGACCCTGCCTGCAGAGCTGAGTCCCTCAGCTGTCAGGAGAACTAAGCTTCACGGGGATCAGCTCAGCTTAGCCCAGGAACTCTTCGTGCTTTGCAAGCCCCTCATCCCTATATCACACTTAACTCTTTCCTTCTGTCACCTTCAAAAGGTTTTAGCAACCAAAGAGCACACACCCTGATCCTTGGCTGGTAAAAGAGGACAATAAAGGCTGCTTCCGAGGACAACATCTGCCAGCAGGAATCATTCGGTGTGAGGACCACGGAAGGCATGCAAGAATGTTCTGTATCTAAGAAGAGCATCTGCAATAAGCTTTTAATTTTTGTTCAGTGTCTGTATGATAATTAAGAAGCCGCAGTACTATGTATAGACAGCTATTGCAAATGTATTTTCCCCACAGGTTAAGAAATACTGTCTGAAAGGGACAATAAAAATAATAGCTACCTTACTTACTGAGCGCTCATATTCACTTTGCCCTTCCCTAATTTAAGGTGTGCTCCTTTTGGTCAGGCACCCTTAATATCCACACCCACATAATCTTCCCAGTCACCACTTTCCAACAGTCTTTAGAAAATGTGAAAATTCACTTCGAGTGTGATTACCCAGCTGCTGATTCTGATTCTGCACATCACGCGCGGGCCCAGGTTGCGTTTGACTCGTAGTCACAGGAAGACCTAGTAGGTCCTAGAGGACGAGAGAGCAGGATTTTGTTTTCCTTAGGCCACGGTGACACCAAAAATCATTGCTCGAGCTGTAGGCCTAGATCGTACCGGTAAATGGTAAATTCTCTTTAGCATTATCTTACATGATCTCAATTTATTAAAAAAAAAAATAAAAACATGGGGTGGTGTAAGGCCGGGCAGTTGAAGGCCCCACGTGCGCAGTTGGAGGGCGGCCCCTCTTCCTCCCCGACCTGCCCGCGTCGCGGGCGGAGGAGAAGCGGGTAGGGGCGTCTGCGGAAGAGGGCTCGGGTTTACTCCGCACTTGACCCTCCCTCACCCTCTCTGAATACTCAGCCACCGTCCCGCAGGCTTCCCGCGGTGCGTTCCCCGGCCCGCGCCCCCGCCGTCCGCCCTGCGCCCCGAGCCGCCGGGGCGCCCGAAGCCCAAGGGGGGCGGCCCCTCGGCGGAGCCAGGGCCGGGCAGCGGGGGCCTCCGCGGTGCGGCGGTGACCGATCGGCCCCGGCCCCGGCGGGGCGGACCGCGAGGCACCCCTTTCCGAGCCCAGAGGCCGAGCTTTTCAGCAGTCACCTCTTTACTAAGTCTCCTCCATTTGCTCTCTCCCCTCAGGGATTCTGTTACCGATGGCGGCCACGAAAAGGCCGAGCTATGATGAACATTTCAGGCCGGAAAAATTAAAAGAATGGCCAGAACCCGAGTCAGTTGCTTTAATGGAGGTAAAAATAACCTGGCATCTTGGGGCATTATTTTGACGGTGGGACATAAGTCCCTTGAGGTTAATAACTATTTTGTGCTAATAACGGTTGTAGTCCCCAGAACTAGAGCAGCGCCTGGCATCCAAAAAATCCGTTGAACTAGAATGGCCCCGGATCAGATTTGGCCAGGAGTGTGGTTCCAGCGTGCCCCGTGGCCGCCGGAGGGTCAGGGCAGCGACAGGGCGAGCTGGTGGGTAAACGCTGCAGCCCCCGAGCTCGCCCTGCAGGACAGGCAAGGTCTGGGTTGGCCAGTTAATACTCGACACTTTCAGGGCCTGGTAAAGCACTGATTTCCTCAAAGAACATTTCATTGTTTTATATGGTCCTATAATTTGCCTCGCTGTAAGAAAAGCTCTTGGATATTCCCTTTATTTTTCCCCTTTTGGTGTGGTGTCTGTAAGAGTGGTGAGACACTTCATGTTTGTGTTGCACAGAAAGCTGTAGATTTCAAAAGTGCCGCTAGAAATCATTAACATCTTATTTTTTTTCTGGCAACATCACAAAGAAGGAGGATCTATAAAAGGCAGTAACTGTCTATTTCCTGAAACAAAAAGAAGGTGGTTTGAAAACCTGACACATGACCAATAACATTTGCTAATGTTAATAGAATGGCTTAAAAAACTGTGATTTCCCTAGTTGCTTGTCAAAGTGTATGTTTCTACTTCTCCAAATAAATGGATTTAGATCTTCTAAATTTGTAATGTAGCATCAGGGGAAAATATTTGTTTTACATGATTTTCCAACTGCCATCTTTAAAAATAAGCATAAGAATGCTTTAAAGCAAGATTCTGTTTATATTATCAAGGGAGTTTTATTTTGGAGAAGACCCAAGTAGCTGTCTGACTATCATTTTACATTTCATGCGAAGCTGTTAGTATATGGGTAAAAATACAATTCTCCTTTTTGAGATTTCTCGGATTCACAGATTTGGTATTTGAGTTTGGGGTTTGGTTTCTTTAGAGTCACTCACTGTGGCAGAACTGAAAGAAGACCCAGAGATTGAAGAACATAGTTGTAAGAACCTGTGCCATTTTACACTAGGTAATTCTTTTAGGTAATAGCATTTCATTTCCAGGTGCTAGATTGGTATTGTTTTTCCATTTGTTCCTACCGAGTCCTATAAGAATAAAAGTTGGAAGATCAGTTCATAGTGAGGATTTCAGTGTATCAGCTTTACCCAGACTCATAAGGGAAGCAGCAAGTTCTTAGATGCACAGATAAGACAATCTTGGTCCTCGGCCAGGAGCTGCCACTAACTGGCTCTGTGACTCTGGACCAGTTGGACTAAATCTAACTTTCTGTAGTTTTGGTTTATAAAGAGACCTAGCAGAAGTCAGGAAACTTAAAGGGCCCTTTAAAACATACTACTGAGTTCCTGCAAGAAGGATTCATTTTATAGAGGATCCTTTAATTAGTAAGGTTTCTTGGTATTTAAACTGTGATTTAATGGTATGATGTAAGGAATTTGTTTCAAAATAATCTGGGTGGGGAGGCAGGAGAGTGAGTAGGGATTTAGACGAAACAAGACTGACTTGAGTTGTTAGCTGTTGAACCTGAGTGATGGGTGCATGAAGAGTCATGTTTGAAAATTTCCATAATAAAAAGTTACAAAATATGCTTTGAGGTACAGACATTATTAGATTTACACCAAAACTATTGGTAAAAAATACACTGAGTTTTGTCATAATGGTTTGTTTCTTCAGGATTTACATCCTAATATTCAATTCTGTAATTTTAGGCATTAGCTAGAGAAGACATTGATGAAGCTGTAAACACAATATTATTGAGAGAAAATTATGTCGTGACGGTAAGAGTTGGCTACAGATTGTGGATTCTAAGTGTGTTCTGGGTAAGCACGCGTGGTGCGGAGCAGCGGGGCCCAGTGGAAGTTACCATGTCAGAGAGATTTATTTTGCTGGAAGAATGAACCTCCTCTGATGCACCTGTTTATACTGCATAGATCTGAGATTGTTGTCACCTCCTTGAAGGGTCACTGAGGGGTTGCGATTCCCAGATCTATCCCAGATCTGAGAGATCATTCTAACTGCTCCTCTTCTTTGATGCTGAATAGAAATTCTTTCTAACTAAAACTTACCACCTCCTCCTCTGTTCCCACGTTGCAGTGGGGATATATAAAGTTATTAGAGATGAATTAGTATTTAAGGGTGATGACTAATCAGTACTGATAGTCACTATGGAATTAATAAACTTAAGGGTGTTTTAATTTCAATATGAGGGATTGAAATTCAGGGTGATATTAGTACTTTAACATTTGAGTTGTGATTTATATAATCTCACATATATTCTCATTTGAGTGTTATAGAGGTAGGCGGGATTCCTCTCCCTGTATAGGCTGAGAGAGAGAGAGAGGTGTGGGAGCAAGGCTATTCCTCTTTCCACTCTACCAATATCCTCACAGCCTTTACTGATGAGGCTAGGGACATGGAATGGGTGACAAGGGAATGAATGCTTTGAAATCCTTAAAAAGGAGCAGGAGTTTCATGAGTTAGGAATGGTTTGGGTGTGGTTTAATCTGAAGGCACAGCTGTGGTTTAGAACTTTTCATGGGTTCTTCCTGCTCTGTGCGCTCCGATTCTCTTTCTGAACTTTATTCTGTTCTTCAGTTATTTTATGCTAGAACTTTGCAACCTGAATGTGCTGAGAGCTTAGGAGTCTTTTCCCCCCTTATTCAAATGACAGTAAGTGGAAAACTTCTTAATAATTTGTTTTCCTTGTTTGTATCACTTCATTAGAAATTGGATACGTATTTTCAGCATCTGGACTTTTTTAAGGAAAGAAGAAAAGAGATGTTACATAAAAAATGGACTGAAAATGTTGCAAACCCTCTTCAGGAGAGAATTATGAAAAAAGTAATTTCATATAGAGGGTTGGAAAAAACAAAACAGGAGAATTTTGAATATTTTTTAAAGCACACAAATAAAACGGTACTGAGTTGTTTTTTCTTTTTAAAAATAATGTATACTTTTTTGAAGGGCTGGGCGAACATTTTCACTGATTATGCAAATAGTCCCAAGTTTATTTTTTATTTAAGATGAATTAATGGAACTGTAGTACAGCCTACTGTATTTTTTAAAAATATTTTATTGGGGGATTGGGGGAGGGGAACACCATTGGGGACTCGGGGAAGGGGAACAGACAAGTTGCTGTCCTTTTGTTCTTCAGTCTAGTTGTGGAAGACATCGCTTCACTGGCCCATGTTGGTATTGTGTCATTGCGCTCTTCCCAGGTGAGGCAGATCAGTCACTGGCCATTGGACTGCTGCTCATGGCAGCTCATGGCGGCTCACGGCAGCTCACGCCAGCTGCCGGCCACTCATGGTAGCTTACGGGCAGCCCACTGCAGCAAGGGCTGCAGCCTACGCTGACACTGGCGACTCACGACAGCCCAGCTCCAGGTCGAGCTGTTGTTCACCATCTTAGCTGTAGAGGGCACAGCATTACTGGCCCTCATGTGGGATCCAAATCAGGGCCCTGCTGCTCAGAGCTGGCGTCCCAATCCAGCTCTTAACCAACGCGCCACTAGGCTGGCCGCAGCCTACTGTATTTTTAAACCTTGAGTTTTGGGTGGAGGGGATAGACTTGGAACTAGATTTATCAGGAATACTTTTAGGTAAACGTTAATAGAATAACAGTGTCTTAAACCCTAAAGACCTTTATTGTTCACTTAACAAGAAATTGAGGGGTAGGTGGTCTCATGGTGAGTTCTGATAGCATAACAATGTCGTTAATCACCCAGGTTTTTTCCTATTGTTCTCTTTTGCTATCCTTAATATTTTCAGTGACCCCATCACCCTCATATTTGTAAACGCATTTGGTTGCTTACAGCCCCAGGTGTTAGGTCTGTGTTCAAGGCAAGAAGAATGGGATAAGGAATGGTGCCAGGGGACCTTTTTCTTACACCTCCTCCTCTGATCAGGAAGCAAAACGAGTTCCCAGAAGCTCCTGGCAGATTTACCCTTGAGTCTCATTGGCCATAACCTGGTCACATGACAAGTCTTATCTAGAAGCAGGGCCAGGAAGGAGAGTGCGTGGCTCTCCAGTCTCTACAGTAGGCAGTGGGCAAGGGAGACAGGGATGCCACGGCTGCTGAGTTAACCAGCTATTAGGGGTAGGGACCACCAGTTTCTACACTGTGTTCTTCCGTCTGGCTTTACAAAACCACAAGGAAATGTTGGCTGCTTCTTTTGAAGATTTTTCTGTTTTAACTTTGGGGTCTGGAACCTCTTTTGAAACTTAGGCCCACCTAAAATTCCAGGTATTTACTAGAGATCTAGAGTAGTTGAACTGGAATGTTAGAGCATTTAGGTATATTTACTGGGCAAAAATTTCTGGGCATGTACTTTAAATACTTCATAAACACCCACCCCAAGAGGAAGAGCAAAAACATCCAGGTCTCTTTAAACCCAAAGTGCAAAGTCTTACAGCTGTGTCCATGCAAGTATAGGATGGGGAAGCCATACCTTAGAAAAGCCATGTGTTGACTTGATGTCTGAGTGTTTCTGAATGACAATAATTCACTGCGAGTCAACCATGTGAACTGGCTTCCAAGAAAGCATGTGAGTTCTTAGGCTGGACTCAGAGTGGGAGGCACCGGAGTCCGTCCTGTCCACCCTGTCGTTCCTGCTTCACTCCTGATTTGCACTGTAGAGGGGACATCACCAGTTGCAGAACCTTTAGAAGTGGAGACCTTTAGGGTGGAGACTTGACAATACTTCCTAGGATGAAAAGTGGAAAGAAATATGGGGTATTTAGCCCAATGAATTGATGACACAAGGAACAATGAAACCTTTCAATATATCAAAGGCTGGCATGTGGATGATGGGTAGAGGTGTTTTTGTATTGTTTCAGGGGACAGAACTAATATCTGCAACCAGCAATGACAAGGCAGGTTTCAACTCCGTTTAAGAACAAACGTCCTCGTGGTTGGAATGATCAAGGCTGTACTTGCCTAATGGAGCAGGACGTTCTCAGACTAAGGCTGGCTGATGACTTCGCACGAAAGCCGGATGATTACCTCTCCCAGAGGTGGTGGACTCTCACCGCAGTCTAACTTACCTCTGGGGTTTCTTCTAGCTCATTGAATCTCTGATTTTATATAAAAATTGAATAAAGTACTTGGCTTTCTTGAATATTGTAAAACACATTTGTATGTAGTGAGTTGTTCTTAGGTGTACTTTTTTTTTTTCTAAAGGAAATTATATTTGGAGACTTTTATGATCCTGAAGTATACAATCCTTTTAATATGATGAAAAAGGATCCAAATTATGGAAAGGTAAGGAAGTTTCTTACTTTTGTTTGTTTATTCTCAGAATCTCTGGGGTTGGGGAAAACCTAGTCATTTTAGAAGAGTTGTAGTTACTCTGTATTCATTTAAAAAAATCCACAAAAGTGTTTGCCCTGAGTTTTAGAATGGGAACCCAAAATAATTCCAACTACTGGGGAATTTACACTGTGAACAAGGCATGTGTATGTGATCATTCATTCATTCATTCATTCACTCATGACATTCAGCAAACTGGAAGCCCAGGGGGAAAAGGAAGACAGGGAGTGCAATGGGGTATGACAAGTATGTCATAGAACCTGCACAGGAAGCCATGGCTCCAGAGGCAGTGCTCCTTTCTGCTGGAGGTGGAAGGAGGGATGGCAAGAAAGGCTACCAATAGTTGAGTTTATAATGAATCTTCGCCTTTTAAACTGCCAATACGAGTTAAAACTTTGAGATGTAGGTTTCTGTGTTTAACTCCTGTGTAGCAGAAGTAGCCACCTGATATCACTATTCAATAAAAAATAATATATGTGTGGCTCTGAAGGGAGGAGCAGTTTATTTTGCTTCGCCAAGAAAAACCAAGGCGAAGATAATTGTTATGAAGATAAGAAGGTTCTTTTGGTTCTGGGAGACTCGCTGAGTACAGTGCTGAGCCATCACTATGCTGCCTCGCTTACTCCGTAACTGTTGACCCTGAAAACAGCATTGGGTCAAGGTGAAGTGTGTGGAAAGAAAAGAAGCAGAAAATGGTTCCTCTGTCTAGAGCAGCGGTTCTCAACCTTCCTAATGCCACGACCCCTTAATACAGTTCCTCATGTTGTGGTGACCCCCAACCATAAAATTATTTTTGTTGCTACTCTATAACTGTAATTTTGCTACTGTTATGAATCGTAATGTAAATATCTTTTTGTTTTCCGATGGTCTTAGATGACCCCTGTGAAAGGGTCGTTTGACCCCCAAAGGGGTCGCGACCCACAGGTTGAGAACCGCTGGTCTAAAGCCTATAACCAGGAAGGAAGAGGGGAAAAGCGCCTTTCTCCACAGCCTCTGTGCCCCGGCCCCTGACACTGGCACTGAGGTCCACCTGCCCTCCCGTTCTCATGGGCCCTTAGACTGGTGGTCAGCTCCTCCAGGAGGACACTGTCCCAGGCCACTTCGGAGAGCTGCCTTGTGCTTCTAAAGCATCCTGAGCTGATGCCTCTCATGGCTACTGTCACTGTGTAGGACTTGTCTGTCGAGATCACTGAGGACAGGACCTTGCTGGGATGTGGTACACGGTGGCATCAGCAAATATTTATTGACTGATGCAACAACATGGTAGAACTCTGAACAGAAGCCAGTCTCTTCTAACAGGATGGCCCTCCCTCCATTCAGCCACTTTAGGCTCAGTGAAATTTCCTAATGGGAAGTGGGTGACATGTATCCTTCCCCTGCTCTGTGGGTTGACATTATTCATGGGTCCTTATTCTTGGCTGCCTTGGTGTCCAGTAAGGCCATACTTGAATGCTTCAGACAGATTTAAAAAGCATAATACAAACTACACTTGGGTCCTCAGAGAGTCCTTTCTCCTGTAGGTTACAGTCCCACCATTTTGTGATCCTCTGTTTAGAAGGCAGCAAGAGCTGGATGAAGAGAAGAGAGCTATTTTTCAATATAAGACAGGTACTTGGTGATCACTGGGCTTTATTTTTAGAGACATCCAATTGGTAAATGATTTCCTACCCCAAGAGTGACTGGAGTTGACTTTAAGAGAGTGTTAATTTAGATTATTTGTTTTTAATCTTCCTGTAGGAAAACAATACACCTCAAAAGACTTTAAAGAACTAGAGAAGGCCAGGGTGGATGCCAGACTGCCCCAGTTCATGTCCACTGCACACAGCGTGATTCCAAAAAAGCGGCCTAAAGCCTCTGCGAGAGCTGTGAGGCAGAAGCCTCCGAGTAAATACAGGTGAAGATGAACTGACCGACCGTTTTCCTGTCTCCATAGTTTTGCCTTTTACAGGATGTCATGTAGTTGGAATGACACAGTATATAGTCTTTTTCCAGATTTTACTTCATTCCTAAGGATGTTTTCACATGATTAAGAATGTTAAGTTGGTAGTTATTTTCTTTCAACATATATCCCACTCTTTTATTTTTTGACATTGAGAAGTCAGCCGTAGTCTTACTGTTGTTCCTTTGAAAATAATTGTCATTTTTTTCTGGATGCTTTTAAGATTTTCTTGTTGTCTTTGATTTTTCTGCATTTTTACATGATGTTTCTAGATGTAGATTTCTTTTGATTTATCCTACCAGGAGTTTGGGTCTTCTTGTATCTGTAAGGTGATATCTTTAATTGGTTCTGGGCAGTTCCCAGTCATTTTCTCTTTGATTGTTACCTCTGCCATATACTCTCTCTTCTCCTTCTGGTACTCAGTTAAACATATTCTCAGTACATCTTCATCGTCTCTTATCCTGATTCGTATATTTTCCATTCTTTTTGTCTTGCCATATTTGATTCTAGATAATTATCTCTTCAGTTATGTTTAATAATCTGTTGTTAAACCCACCCTCTGAGTTCTTATTCTCAGTTGTTTTTCTGTTGTAATTCCAGCATTTTATTTGATTCTTTTCCAAATAGGTTTTGGGGAAGGCTGTCTGTACTCAGGGCCTGGAGGGTCTCTGTCCCCACTGGGGAACCTATCCCAGTGCACGGCTTGAATTGCCCACCAGGGGGAGGGAGATGTTGAGAACAAAGTTAACCACCCACCTGCCAGGACAGCAACCAGACCTGGAAGGAAAAATCCACCAAAAAATGCTGGGAGCATGGAGGAATCAGTCTCTACCCTGGTAATTGATATTGGTAGATGGAAAACAGCCAGAGATGCGAACTCATTCCTGAATGGTCCTCTCCTCTCTGGAATTGTTTCCATAGCTATCCAATGACTTTAAAATTATGATTTTGTTTGGTAAAATTTCTGCTGTTTTCTAGTTGTTGGAGCAGGAGTAGTGGCCTGTGTAAACTTCTAAATCCCACACAAAAATGGAAGTCCTGTCATGCTTCGCTTGATGTTTCCTTTGTATCATCCATCCTGAGTTTTGCTGGAATAAACAATGCTGCTGTTTCTGTCTCCCCTAGTATTTGGAAGTTTTATGTTCTATTTCTGGTTTCATGGTTTATTTGTCAATTTTAACAAACATTTTTATTTAAATATCAATAATTATGAAACTCCCTATCCCCCAGCAAGACACAGGCTTTATTTCCTCATCTCTTTTCTCACTCCTCAGCTTTTGTGGCCATAGCTTCTTAAATGATATTCCTCCCTTTAGTTTGGGCTCCTGTGATGGACTCTCCACCTAGCAGCCTGAGGAATCTTTTTGAAGTGATCAAATGAAACTCTCCAAATGAAAACTCTCAGTAGCTTTCCATAACCCTTATAATAAACTCCAGACTCCTTAACAAGGAACATAAGGTGCTCTCTGGACCCTGCTACCCTTTCTGGTTTCATCTAAAAAAGAAAAAAATCCCCTCCCCCTAAAGAAATATAAATAAACCACAAAAATCTCTGGGTTAAGTCAGCACGTTTACAACTCCCCACCTGCCAGGTTGTTTAATGCCTTTGCAACTTCTGTTATTGCTGGCCACGCTAATCCAGGCAAGAGAGGGAATTACCACGTGGCACCCCCCCACCTCTGCACCCCCACCTGCCATTCCCACCGCAGTCAACATATGAATATGGAAGGACACAAACATTCAGACCACAGCAGTCAGGAGCACAGCCGGGTCACTTGAGGCACCAAGAAGGGGCTAGTCCTTTCTCTTTCTCTGCCCTCTTACACATGTGCTGGCAAATGGATACCCCAGTCCTGCCTGACATTCTGGTGTGGGTGCTCTGAGGCTGCCCAGAAGCCCCTCTGTGACAGTTACAGCTCTAGGGGCTAAGGACTGGACCAGGAGAAGGAGAAGGGTCACATGGCTCATACTCTACCGAGGGCTGTGCCAACGTAGATGTGGGTGGGGCAGACTGATTGATGGACAGCCACCAAGTGAGTCTGCTCAGTCTTTCCTTTTCATAAAGTGAGTATTGAGTTTGCTATATTAATTTTCAGACAATTATTGAATGGTACAATTCTCTTTGTACAGAGCTGAGATCATTTTTTTTTCTACTTTTCTTTGCAGTCCTGAAAACCCTACCTGTGCAGAAAATATATACGTGCCTGATAAAGAGACTACCACCCTAAGTCAGACTATTTTTGAAAGGCAGTTTCATTCCTCAAAGCTCAGCCAGGAAAACAAAAGGGATGAAAAGAAGGGTCTGGTGAGCAGAGATCTGGGGGGAGCAGGGCCGGGATGGCACAGTTTTACAACACCCACGAGAGAGGCATTGATTTCAGAATCTGAGCCGTTGACAGAGCCCTCCCTCTCAGACGGGCTCCCAAGGGCACAGCAGGCAGCAACCAAAGAAGGGAGGAAAAAGAGGAGGATTTATTCTGTGCAGCAGAAATGGTGGGGTGCCTCTGGGTTCAGGTGCTGCTGCACAGACAGGAGCTCATCACAGGGGAGCCTGCATGAGGAAACTCGGAGAAGGAGCAGACTCTGGGACCCTGGACCCCACTTTTGGGGACAGATGGTGGCTGTACAACTTGAGGGAAAACCTGGCCAGAGGGGATCTGCTCTCCAACATTTCCTCAGCTCTTTTTCCTGAGTTTTTGCTCTTCTGCCATTTTCTACTATTTACTACTTATCACATCCAAACCAGACCAAAAGTTTTATTCTCCTTAGTTCAGTCACAACAGGTGGGACTCTTTTGAAATGAAATTAATACTAAAAAAAATTAGGGCAGAATGATGGTTTAGCTATATAGGAGGTATTTTAAGTGCAGGAATTTTCCATGCACACATTTCTTATCCAGAGCTCACAGACTGGTTGGCAGAGCTTACCGCTTATGGTCTATTTCCCTTCCTATCCTCTCTCTCTCACACCCTGTACCCTAAAGCCTGCGGGTTAGGGTGCTTCAGGGAATCGAGCACACAGTGGATCACTGCATTTCTCCTTTCCCCAACCGCCCGGCCCTTTACCTCCACCTCACACAAAGGAGGAGGGACTATTTCTTCTCTCTAGCTTCAAAAACCAACTCCTGCCCAATCCCACTGCTCTCCCCAGTCTCTCCAGAGAGAAACAGATTCTCGTTATATGGGAAGTGACCACTTTCCCCTGAGCAGGGCTGTATCTGAGAGCACGCAAGCCCCTCAGTCAGACCTGAAATGACGCAGTCAGGGCTGCCCTTTTGGTGGGGTAGCCTACCTGCTGCTCCCAAGACAGCCCAAGATGGAAGCGGTTTACATACAACAGAAGTTGAGTTTTCGCTCGCGTCCCAGAACTGGGTGGGTCAGCAGGTCGGCAGGCTGTCCTCTTCCACGCAGACTTCCATCCTGGCTGATGGAACTTTTATCATCTTCAGCACCTGGCTTCAGAGGTGGCTCTGGGGAACTCACTCCTGTCAACCTGAAAAGGGAGGAGATCATGGGGGAGTCCTGCCTGATAGTATGGGTGGGTCCCGCACACTCCACTGGTGAGGCCAGCACGGGGCTGTCCCTCCCTGCGGGACACTGGAGACAGTAGTCCCTGGGTGGCCAGAGCACATGCATGGAGAGCAAGCATTCTGTGGACAGCTAGTCGTTTCTGCCATGCCATGAGAAGGTCGGTGCTGTGTGGAGGCCAAAGCCACGGAGAGGCTTGTCTGAGAGTTGCAGAAACCAGAGGGAGTGAGGGAGCGGTGAGGAGAGGGCTGCCTGGGGAGCTGCTTGGAAAGTCTGAGCTCCAGCAGGAGGGCTGAGTGGCGGGTGGGACCCACCAGGGCGTCCCTCTCTGCCCCTATAAGCCCCCATTCCCTACCCTACACTCAGCATTTCTCTTCTGTCCATAGGTTCTAGGAACCAGACGGCCCAGACCCCGATCCTGGGCAGCTGGGGAAGGCCAGCGTAGATGGGGGTCCCAGCCTGTGGAAAGAAGAGTGATGACGGCAGAGGTCCTGGCCCAGCACCTGACCTCCCTGCAGACGGGGGCCAGGCAAGGCAGCCAGGAGCCGGTCCAGCTATAAGGAGGCCATTTGTAATAAAGCTTCGCTGAACTGTGTGCAGTCTGCAGCATCTATACAATGGGCAAAATACTGCCAATATGTTTTGTCTCTCCAGAAATGGAAAGATATTGCAAGAAATATCCAAATAATAGCTATTTATCGAGTTCCTGCTGTGAACCAGGATCTTTGTGACATATTTTATATTCATTTAGAAGTTGTCACAGCAAGGTAGAATTATCTCCTAATATATGAAGCTCAGAGAGGTTTGGTGACTTGCTCAAGGTCAGCTGCCTGGCTTGAAAGTGGCAGCGCTTTAGTCCCAGTCCGGTCTCTCTGGTGCCAAAGCAGAGGGCATGTTTCCCAAGGCACGCTCTCCTCACACCCATTAGGCTTTGTAATGTTAGTCACACTGCTCAGAATTTGGGTCCCCTTTCAGAGGGTGGAGTTATACTACTCACCTGCTGTGGCATCCTGATCTTGAAGGAAGCAGGGACTTGCTGGGCGGTCCTCACGTCTGCTCAGTCCTTCCCAGGGGACGTAAGAGGCCTAAAGGCGCACCTTCCCTACTGCGTCCTTCAGCAAACCAGCCTTGCGTTTCAGTCAGGAGAGAACTTGACTTCTTAAGGGGCACAGCTGCGTTCCTAGGTCAAACGGTGACTGGAGTTGCTGAGAGGACTGACATTACATGTCCTCCGTGGTGTCGTACAAGTCTGCTTACATACTGCAGGCTCCCTTGTCCTACATCTGAAAAGAATGCTGACGTATCTAGACATGGAGAAATGGTGGTGGCCACGTTTCACCCCAGTGAGAAAGTCCCCACAGTCCTGGGAAAAGGATTCTTCTGTAGCTGTGGTCACAGGTAACCAAGTCACAACCAGAACTGGCTTTCCACCTGCCTGACCTATCAGTGACAGCCTGTGGCTTTGGGAGTCAGCCAGTCAGAGGCAGGCTCGTGGCACATCAACCCACCGCTGCCTCCGGGACCAACACCAGACTCGCTTCCCCAAACCCTACTTGCTTGCTGAAACTTTGCTCAGCAAGGCTGTACCTGACCAGCCAGTGTCCCTTAATTAGGCAATAGATTCAGTTGTTTTGGGTTCAGATATTGAGTGGTGTCTCTTCAAAAGTGGGGCAAAGTTCTTTTATGTCTGTGTTTTAACCAATCAGTGCCTAGGATCAATACTGGGAATGATGAAGTGACGGATTTTAAAAAACAACATTCTAAATTATGGTTTCCAGCCCTTCTTTGCCCAGTGATATGTTTAGACAAAAACGGGGCCTTTGGTGGAGGGACGTTTGAATATTGTTCCTCCAGCTCCTTTGGAAGACCTGCTCCGCGAGAACTCGGGGCTCCTACAGCCTATGTGACTCCTTCCAAAAGATCTCCTCCCAGGAGGGGTCATTAACCCACAGATTTAGTGTATAAGACCTTATTTTTATTAACTTTTAAAACAAAGGTCACACTTGAAAATTTAGAGGCTGAGTGAGTAGCTCTGAGAGGTGAGGATGTGGCTCTGAGGGGCAGTGGAGGAGGGACAGGTGCTCCTGGAGCTGGAGGGGCTGAGGGGCCTGCTGCTGCTGCTGAAACCTGTGTATTGCTTTACTCCTGAGTTACCCCTGAGGTTTCCACTCAACAGGCAAGCAGGAAGCCTCAAGCTCCCACAGAGACCATCCAGTCAGGCCATCAGAGAAACCGAGTCCAATAGCACAGAAACTGGGTGAACCCACCAGAGTCACAGCAAGTCAACGGCAGAGCAAGGAGGCTCGGGGCCTCTTGGGTGCCCCCTCTCCCCATCCTGTTCCCACTGGTTTCTCCCACTGTCACAGAAAGAAGACTTGGTTCCATTATAAGCAACCTCTGAAGTTACCTTTGAAGAGCCTTTCACGCAGAAAGTAAATCAGTAAAGCTTTGAGAGAAGTTCCATTCATGAACTTACATATTTATTCTCTTTCTGTACATATTGGCAATGAGAAAGCTTAAAGATGCATGTCCTATGAAATACGCAAAAACAAGGAATTTACATAAATAATTTATACTTCAGAAAATTAAAGTTGAAAAATATTTTCCACATCATTAGAGTTCACAGTATTGAAAGTAAATCAAGCTTTTCCCCTTTAGATTTCAAACTATATTGTCTCAGCAGAGGATGATAAAATCTAATCAGGAATAAAATGATCAAGTTTGTTTTGTCTTCAGTGCACAAGTAGACCCTATTTCGGTATCAGGCTGTTCCTGCACTGAGGCTGCAGCATTTTCCCCTCAATCCTTCACCTCCTGAGTGGCTGTGACCCAGCAGAGGTCACGTGGCATGGAATGGTTACAGCGTCACCAAAACCACCCACAGTGGACACATTCAACCAAGTGGTAACGTCTGGTGGTCTGATGCCTCATTTCCACATAATACTTTTTACAGCCCTGAAAATGGAAACCTTGGCATCTAAACACAGCCGACATGTTAACACTAATACAAGGCACTGTGCTATGGGGTTTGGTTTATTTATAGGAAAGATTATGTTTGCATAGATTGCTAGAGATTTAATGTGCAATAAAATAGAGGGGCCCCAGCGTGCGTGGGCTTGTGATGGATGAAGTTGTGACTGATGCTCCTTCAGCCTGGCGGCGACACTGGCCATCTTCTCCAGCCCCAGCCTAGTGGGCAGATCCCCGAGGTCCCTACAGGTGAGTTTTTTGCTGAAAAAGCTGCAGGTCAAAGCGGACCCAGACCTCACCGGTGGGGACCTCGTGCAGCAGGAGTCGGCGGGTTTTAGGGCCTTTGCTTTCCTGTTCTGTTCGAATTTTTGCCACCGGAATTTCAGTACGACCCAGGAAATCTGGTGAATAAACATGCGAGAGTCAAAAGTCTTCTTCTTTAGAAAACTGCTAAAAAAAAAACTAAAACCAAACCAAAACAAAACAAAACAAAAAACTACCACAGGAGGAGTGTCTGAAACAGGATTCATACAACTTTCAAATCTAAAACAAGCAACTTCTTGGTTAATGGCTATTTGATACGGTGACTGGAAGCACGACGACAGATGCCAGGCAGGGAACTGCCCCTCTGGAACCCGCATCTCTTACCCACTCTACAGGTGCCAGGAGCACAGTGAGTGTTTCTATGATCTACGTAGGGAGTGACAGGAGTCAAAGACCTGAAACACACCTGAGGCTGCCCCCTCCCCTGCTGCCAACATGAGCTGCTGATGACTAAGGGCCTGGGTCACTTCCCTTAGGTGTCGTGGGGTAGAAATAGGCTGAGCGCCTTGGATCGAGACCCTAGGTTCTAGAGTGCTGGGAAAACTTCAGACCCCTGGCCGAGTTATACTTTACCGTCTGGTGAAAACTGGTCTCTGTCAAACATGGTGAGACATAGCACATCTTGGTAAAGATCCTTAATAAAGAACTGGCAATTAAAATTCCACTTGGGGTTTAGCGTGTCCTGGAGGGTCCTGGTGGTGTAGCTCTGGGAGCCCATGCTGATTTCACAGTACGGATTGCTCTTCCCTGAACAAAAACAAACCGAAGACACATGTGGCTGTGCAGGTAAAATGAGTGACAATGGGGCCTTCCTTGAGCAGAAGCAGGACCCAAGCTGATGCTTCTCTACAGACCAAGCAGCAGGGGCCGTTGCCTGAGGGCCCACATTGGCCAGTGGTCTCCACCATGTCCCCAGTGCTGAGGGCATCACAACGCTGGGAGTGACCAAGTGGGAGTGAATGCCCCAGCTGCACCCCACAGGCCTGCGCATGTGTCAGTGCTACTTGCTTTGTGCTTTCCCCACTTAGAAGCACTGAGGCTCGGGGAGGCCTGGGTGCTTATTGCGAAGCAGAGTGATAATAATGTCGGTCCAGTACCCATTTTCGTGACTTTTAAAACCCTCCCATTACTCAATGCTCAGAAGAGTCATTAGCAAAGCGCAGGGCTATTACCACATCTGTTGAATGAAAGAAGCATTTACCATTTGGCTTACAGGCTTTTAATTCTGTAGCTTCAATGACATGCACCATCAGACGCCCAATGCCTGACGTCTTTTGAGAGCGAGCTATGGAAGAAGACAATTCACGTTAGTTTCTTCTCTGAGACCGCACACAGCGCAGTGATGATAGTGAGCTGTCCATACTCACAGTCCATCTTTCTAACCCCCCTAACACCGCCCAGCTTCACCTGCCACAGCACTGGGCCCAGCAGCCCAGTGTCTGGCTGCTCTGTGCCTTTGCTCAGGCTGTGCACCTGCTAAGATGCCTTGCCCGCTACCCGTACATGTCAGTGTCGTACTCATCCTTCAAGATGCAGGTCCAGTCTCACACCTCACCTCCCAGACCCCTTCCCTCCTCTGTGCATCCGTTATCTAGGGCTTCTGAGCATCCCACGGCCTGCTGGGCCTGTGGGTCCATCTCCTCTGCAAGGAGGAGCTACTGTACAGCACAGACTGTTTATTCACCCTTGTGTTAACCCCTCAGCTGCCTAGCAAGTAGTAACATTAATAAGATAATACTACATTATATTCACTCAGTATTGGGCACTTACTAACATTTATTGGATATTTACTCTGTGTTAGGCATGAGCTAGACCTTTACATGAGTTATTTAAACTGTATGGTTACCCTATTAGGTAGCTCTTTATAAATGCCATCTCCATATGTGAGAAAACTGAGGCTTAGAGAGATCTGAAATGCTCAAGACATAGCGCTTCTAAATGGCAGGCTCAAAACTTAAGCATCAGATAGCATTTTCTTAATCACTCACCATAATTCCAATGATATGTGAACGCTTCAGCTTATAAAGCAGTTTCATTTAAGATCTTGCTCTATTTAAGGAGGTACTCAAAAACGCTTTTAATGTGGAGAGAATTGAGTCAGGGAACTCAAGATTATCTTGGCAAATATGAAGTTACGCAGATTTTGCCTTCAGAGGTTTACAAACTAATAACAACAACAACAAAAAAGGCTGCTTGGTGAGCTACTGATCTCTCAAAACTCAGGGCAGGTAGGACCTTGCCTGTGAGAAGGGGCCGCCCACCACGTGCCACCCTCCGGCCTGCACTAGCACTCAGGTCCCGTGAAGGCAGGGTTGGGCCCTAGTCACATCTCAGGCCTGGCTGAGGCTAGCACAGGGCCTGGTGCAGAGTAAGTAACCAAGAAATGTTTAAAGAATTAAACATGTGGAAAATGCGTAACAGTATGTACAGATATGGACATTAAGCAAAACATGGGAAAACTGTGATTTACATCTTTGACCAATTAATAGATCACTGTAATGCTCTACAAATGATTCAATCATTGATTTTTCAACAGCAAGCCTTTAAAATAACATTAAAACAAGACTCAATTAGCAAAAGCTGATTTACACATACCTTTCAGGAGTACATAACAAAATAAGGGAAACCTGAATAAAAAAACACATAAAGAGCTACAACTACAGCAGCCAGGAACCTAAGTGGGGGACTGGGCAGGGGAGGGGTGCCTGCAGGTGGGGGAGGGGGGGCAGGGTTTCAAAGGTGAGTTGCTCAGTTAGGCAGTGGGATGGGCTCTGAGTTTGGGGTAAGAACTTTGTCCTTAATTTGGGAGGTGATAGAGAAGATCTTAAGGAGGGAGAGAGATACTGAGAGCAGCCCTGTGAAAGAATACTCCAGAAAAGAAGGGCATGG